TTTGTCAACACTTTGCGCGTGTCTCATCTGCTTCACCTCCACTCACGAGCGAGATCGTTAAAAACCTGCTAAGTGTACCATTGCCTCGCACTACACCATGCTTCTCATTTGAGCGTGTCACTGCGGCAGACGTTTTGTCGGCTATGGCAAAGTGCACTTCCTCTAGCACTGGACCCGATGGCATACCCCTGACGGTTCTCAAGCTCGCCTCTCCCACCCTGGCGGAGCACATTGCCAATCTGGCCAATAGCTCATTTGAGACAGGCACCTTTCCATCTGCCTGGAAGTTTTCATCGGTCGTTGCTCTCTCCAAGTGCTCCACGCCATCGTCCCCGTCTGATACGCGGCCTATATCGCTCTTGACAGAGCTCTCAAAAATCGTGGAGCGACTCGCTCACGCCCAGCTCTCTACCCATCTCTCTCGACACAATTTGCTCGATCCACAGCAGCATGGCTTTCGGCCGGGCCACTCCACGCAGACAGCTCTCCTCGACCTCACTGAGTCGGTTCGAATGGCTGTGGACAAGCGTAAGATCACCGCTTTAGTGTCTTTCGACTTTTCCAAGGCGTTCGACTCGATAGACCATGGCTTGCTCATCTCGAAGCTTCGCCGCCTTGGCTGCGACGCACTCGCCGTGGAATGGTTTTCGAGCTACCTGAGCAATCGTAGTATGTCGGTCAAGAGCGAGAATGGCGCTCTTTCCGAGCCACTGTTCACCACCTCTGGTATACCGCAAGGAAGCAGTCTTGGGCCGCTGCTGTTTGCCGTGTTTATAAATGACCTCCATACTGTACTACGCCACTCTAAGCATATCATCTATGCCGACGACACGGCCATTTTTCAGCACCACTTTCCATCCAAGATTCACGAGCTCATAGCCGATTTGAACTCAGACGCCAACGCCGTCGCAGCTTGGGCTGCCGAGAACAAGCTCCACCTGAACCCGACTAAAACCACGGTCATGATTCTCGGTAGTCTAGCTTATGTCTCTTCCATTGACAAAGCTGCTTTGCCCAAGATCACGCTGAATGGTACAGGCATTGCGTACTCATCAAGCGTCAAATGCCTCGGCGTCACTATCAGCCCCACGCTGCTATGGACGAGCCATATTAACTCACTCAGGTCAAAATGCCACTTTGCTCTGTACTCATTGCGCTTTTACAGGCACGCGCTGAATCGTCAGCTAAGAGCGAGGCTCGCAGTGGCCCTGGTCTTGCCTCATCTTGACTACGCGGCCGCTGTCTACAATGACATATCGGCCACGTCCGATCTCAAATTGCAGCGTCTTCAAAATGCGTGTGTTCGCTTTATTTTTGCCTCCATACCAGCTCGTGAACACGTGACACCTTATCGCTTGGCCCTTGGTTGGCTATCGGTCAAAAGACGTCGCCAATACCTGCTCGTCCTGCTCGCACTCAACATACTGCGGAGCGGTGAACCTAGCCCACTTCGCAATCTCTNATACCTTTGAACAAAGCTAAATGCATTTATGGAGTTACACAGGTGCAGTTTTTAGGACATGAACTGTCATCAAAGGGTATAAAACCAATGGACAAGTACACTACTGCGATAGCCAGTTTTAGATCGCCGTCGACAATCGAAGAGCTTCAAAGTTTTATTGGATTAGCGACATACCTGGGCAAGTGGATACCAAAATTTTCAACACTTACTGATCCGTTGCGTCAACTACTAAAACTAAAATTTGGAAAATCAGCAAGTATAAAACAACACTGGACCACTGACAAGCAGCAGGCTTTTCAGCAGCTGAAAGATGAGTTGACAAATATTCGGACACTTGGATATTACAATCCCGAAGACAAAACTCAAGTCATCGCCGATGCGAGTCCAGTGGGACTCGGAGCTATTCTCATTCAAATTGACAACAACGGGCCGCGTGCTATTGCTTACGGAAGTAAGAGCCTTACAGATTGTGAAAAAAGATACTGTCAGACCGAAAAAGAGGCACTCGCACTGGTGTGGGCGGTCGAACATTTCGATATATACTTACGAGGTAAAGATTCGTTCGACTTGATCAGCGATCATAAGCCACTTGAGGTAATTTTTGGACGGAAATCAAAACCATGCGCAAGAATCGAAAGATGGGTCCTGAGACTGCAATCATATAATTTCAGAATAAAATACAAACCTGGAAAAACCAATATTGCAGATCCGTTGTCTAGGCTGTATTTGAATGCAAATACAGTACCGTTCGAAATGACTAATTACGTTAATCTTATTGTAGGAAGCTCATGCCCAACAGCTTTATCGCTAGCCGAAATCAAGCAAGCTAGTAAAACCGATAAAGAAATGAATTTAGTCAGAGAAGGTCTATACAACAACCATTGGATTCAGGATGTTAACAGCTACAGGATTTTTGAGTCAGAGCTCTGTTTTGAAGATAAAATTCTACTTCGCGGACACAAAATTGTTATCCCAGAGGCATTGCGATCCAGAGTTTTGGAAGCAGCACATGAAGGGCACCCAGGAATTGTGTCAATGAAAGCTCGACTGCGCATCAAAGTATGGTGGCCTAAAATTGACCGAGACGCCGAAAATTTTGTCAAGTGTTGGAAGGGATGCACTTTAGTATCAGCTCCAAATTTACCACACCCAATGAAGAGACGTTCATTACCAACAAAAGCGTGGACTGAAGTAGCAATCGACTATTTGGGACCATTGTCTAGCAAACACTACCTATTCGTGATTGTCGATTATTTCAGTAGATACAAAGAAATCAAAGTGATGACAAGCATCACAGCCAGCGAAACCATTAAGGTATTGAGAGAGATCTTTTCTAGACTAGGAACACCTTGGTCTATAACTGCAGATAATGCAAAGCAGCTCAAAGACTGCAGAGAATTTGATGCATTTTGTCTAGAATATGATATACATCTGGAGCACACAATTCCCTACTGGCCACAAATGAATGGTGAGGTAGAAAGGCAGAATCGTGATTTACTGAAAAGACTAAAAATTAGTCAACTTCAAAAAACTGACTGGAAAGACGACTTGTTTAAATATTTAATGATGTATAATAGTACACCTTACTCTACAACAGGAAAATTGCCGTCCGAGATGTTTTACAACAGGTTATTTCGAGATAAACTACCATCAGCTATGAATATTGAAAATGATCGTGTAATGGTAGATCTAGAAGTACAGGACAAAGATTTTGAAATGAAAATGAAAGGAAAAGAATTCGGAGATAAAAAAAGGCGAGCAAAAGAAAATGATCTGAGAATAGGAGAAAAAGTATACGTAAAAAATATGATCAAACAAGATAAGCTCACTAGCGAATTCAATGAAGTACCGCATACTGTAATTCAGGTAAAAGGAGGAGATGTCAGAGTACAAAATGACGAGACAGGATTGCAGCAAAGAAGGAATGTTGTTCATCTCAAAAGAGTAGAAGGAAAATGGACTGTGTGTGAGAAAGAAAACCAAGAAAATCAAAATTAAAAATAAACAATCATTCAAAAAATCATTACACCTAAATTAAATTAAAATGTTAACATCATGTTTGAGTTGAGTTTCTAAGTTTCATTTATTTAAATTATAATTATCATACTATGGTTATCTTAAATTAAAATTTTGTAACAAGGGAGATGTAGCATGTAGTAACAATAAAGACGTGCGCGCGAGGCAGCGGCGCGAGGGCTGGCGCGAGAGTCAGTCTAGCGACAGCAGTCGAGCCGAAGCCCAAGCCACGAGTAGTCAGTAAAAGTGCATCATTCGTCTCATTAATTGTTTACCCTTTATTACCCCGAAGCTTGGATGCTACACATTATTCAGCTTTTCAGGTTTATCTTATCAATGTAGTAGATATTTTGCAAGAATTTACATATTTATGGACAGAGCATGAAGAAAATGCACACTTAAATGTTGGTGGAGGTATTGAGAGCGTATAGAGTAGGTTTATTATTATTTATTATTTGGTATACTTTGAGCAACAAATCAGAATATGTTTTTTCTAAAATTAAGATGATAAAGGTTCATCAAACATAAATTTTGTAACATAAACTTTTTGTAACATAAATAGTAATGAACTGAAAATATTATTCATCTTTCACTCTCTATTTATAGGCTTTGACATTTTCATAATTAAAATTGTACAAAATCATGAATGAAAGTAACAGTAATTGTATTATAAATGTTTCATACTCAAAAATTGTATAAAATACCTGATTAGATATATATTTATAATAAGCTTTTATGTATTATCAAGATTACACTGATGAATAACAACGGTACGTCACAAACAAACCAATGTTCAATAATTAATAACTTTTCCTTCCTATTGAAATTGTTGCTCATCGCTTTATTTTACCATCTAATCTTTATAACACTAATCCTACCAAATACTTTTGTTTTTTTCATTTTTATATTATTTGTTTTTGTTAATATTCTTTTCAACAAAAAATTAAATCTGGAAACAAAATTAGTAGTGGTTCATTCAGTAATTAAAGTTGCACAAATTATAAATGTAACAAAAAAAATACACGCACAAAGTTATCTTGAAATAACAATTTTTATTAAAATGAGTAAACATTCCATTATATAAAATTAAGATTTTTTTTATGATTTTAATGCAGCAAACCTGAAAAAAATTTACGCACTAAATTAATCTTTCTTACCTACAGATCTCGATATTTCACTAGTTTTTTGTAACCGCGCATCACAAATTGCGCAGGCAACCTCATTACGTTATATTTGCGTTTTTTTTTGGGAAACGAATCGTTTTACACATAGTGTACTATAACGTACCAAAATTTCAGGAAAATTCGTAGACCTCATCCACAGATTTATTTTAAAAATTCTTAATCAGGCCCATATATGCTCGACAGCGCATTTCAGCTCTGCACTACCGCTGGCTTCTCGATGCTTTTCGGTCACAGACTATATGAGCGTGAAGCTCACTAAAACCAACATTTATGATGAGTTTACTTACTCCAAAGCAACTCTTATATGAACAAACGATATCAATGATAAAAATATCCACTTTCAATTGATGAAAAAAAAGGTTTTTATTTTTTCACTAAGTCTGCATCTAGTTATAATTGGTTGTTACATATTTTTTGTTGAAAATAGCTTTTATAAATGAAACTGCATCAAATTACTAAATTATGTGTTCCAAAAATAATTCAACATCATCAAATGATCAAGAATCGAACAAAGAAATTAACTTGACAGTTATTACACACTCTTATCAGAAATACTACTTTTAATGCTACTTCTACTTTCATTTCTTCTTAAATTCGGCTCATTATTCATGTGTGAACCAGCTCGATTTCTTGTTATTCCCTTCAGGCTGTAATTACGTTCCGGCTTACGACCTGTTGCTTCCTTAGGCCCTCGAATGTTTGAATAGATGATATAAACTGCACAGAATCCGAAAGCAAACATAGCAACACCAATACCAGTCACTGTACCTATCTGCAATAAAAAAATAATAGTAACGTATGTGTATATAATTGATAATTCATTTTGTGCGATTAGGCTCAGCTAATTGTTACATTGTTTATGTGTCATTCAATGCTAAAAATCCTAATGCGGGCGCCACGTGGCAGTGTGTACTAATATCGCTTAAATTCTAAGCCCACTGTAAAAGTACCTAATATTTAGCTTTCCATTGGTGAGGTCAGAATTTTTCAGCATTTTGCGTTTTTCCTCGTTGCGATTTGATGGAAAACTTTGAATGCTGATTTTTTATATTTCCACCAGATATATAGAGAGAAAGAAGGAAAATAAGGTTTTTGCGAGCCTGTCTTTCTGTAGTAATTCCAAGTTTTTATGTGCGTATGTGCTCATCAATAATTATTTAATTATCCCTTTGTGTTTAAACATTAACACGACACTGCGAAAAAATTTTTTTTACCTTTTAACATGAAAAATGAAATTTCTGAAAAACTAAGGCCATCATCAGAAAGAACAGACTTAAATTTATCAATTACATTCACTAATAAGTTGATTAGTTAAGAGGTGTCGATCGATGCAAAATACCATCTGTAAAAGTTAGATTGTACGCGGTCATATGTGATCGATGACATTTTTCTTTAACCCAAATCAGAAAAAAGTTTCCCTGCAACACTTATACGATACTAAAAATCCAATTTTACATCAAAACGCTGTCAAAAAGCTGCAGTGGAAGTCATATAATTTGAAACTCATTAATTTACCACTTATTTTGAATTATGCGATCAAATAATTCAAATTTTTGATAAATACTAATCAAGTCCTCGAAATACATTGAATACGGATGTATCGATGATCATTTAGCTAACAGCAGGTGTTTCATTTGTCAAAACATTGTTTTAATCGTAATTTTGAGTGTCTTATACATATTTTTTGAGACAATCAGTCGATTTTACTCTGTCCTGATGAAAAAGTATTTATGCTTCAGTTTGGGAAAAAACAGAAATTATTACTACAGTTAAAAAAAGTGAAAAATAAAAAAATTATTGCAAGTAAATACAGTATTCAAAAATGAATACTGTCAATAATTTTAATTTGAGACAAAGAATGAAGATAATGACATCGATTTCAAAAACGTATGTGGAGAAAGCAATTCTGTCAATTTAAAAGAATCTGAGGATTAGAAAATATTATTAAAGAATATGATTTCACACCACAAAGTAAAAGATATTTTCAACGTCGATAAAGGCGCTTTATTTTACCAATGTGTTCCTAATAATACATTGGCATTCAAAAAAATCTATAATTATTGTGCAATTCAAAAAATTAGAATTATATGGCTGCTAAATAATTCGAATTATCGCATAATTCGAAATCGAGAGGCAGTCCCCAGGACTTCGAATTATGTGATTTCCACTATATTTGGTAACACTAAATTGTGACCTTTTATTTTGTCGTGTATTTTAAATTGAGTTCTACGTCGTTTTCAATAAAAATGTCTCGAAGCATGTATATGAACTATGAAGGTTTTTCGTGGTGTTTCATTTTCTACCATACGTTTCATCAAGTCGTAATAAAACTTTATAGCACTGCGGGGCATAAGTTCACATTTATGACACGCTTTTCGTTGCTTAAATCGCACGTTCTGGCACCGCGTCGCTCCTATTACACTTCAATTGGAATATCGTAAGTGATATACATAACCAATGCGAAATCCAAAAACGATTGACTTCTCCCACTCATTAACAGGAACTTGACTGGGAGCCACGAAGTTAATGTATTTTTGTAAACGAATGAAATATTTTTACGAATATCTGAAAAACGTCTATCTCTTCGTTAAAGTTAAATTAAATGTTATCACTAAATTAAGTTTTTCAACCCTATATCTGACGTTAATTTTGCCTGCTACAGCTCTACCATAACCTCACTTAGCTGTATCTCCCGTCCACCTGATGAGTTATACCGCTCATTGTAAACAAGTACACATACACTTGAGCTGCTATATAAAAAACGGAATCCCGACAAAATCTCCGGGACATAATCTCCGCACGACTAAATCTCCGCGACAAAATCTTCGCCACATTTTTTAAATTTATCTCATGTTTTTACGTATCTATAAATACTACTTTATTACTTTACTGGGTTATTTTGGGTTATTTTGGGTTATTTTGTGATATTTTTTAATATTTTGTCTCCGAAGATTATGTCGGTAACCCGTAAAATAGTGTGACTGAGCGTTTCTGGTCAGTTTCTTTCTAATTAATAACGTAGAAGGAGCTCCACTCCTAAACTACAAGTGATCATACCTGTAAAACTGAGTTTCAAAAAGACTTTAAATAAATATTTTATTTCAAACGATTGCATCGTAATTTTTTTCTACCTTATTATTGATTTCAGTCTGTAACATGGTGGCGCGTTATCGCGATCCGGTGGGTGACTAAAAAGACTTCTTTCCTTTCATTATGCGAAAGTACGCGAGTCAACGCGTAGAACGAGTATACGCGAGAGAGAGATAGATAGATAGATAGATAGATAGATTCTTTATTGGGCTTAGGGCGAACCCCGTGTGCACTTTTGAAATAAAATTGTCATAAAAAAAATTATTTACAAATTTTAGCAACATTTTAGATATAAAAATTGAAATGTCGATGTACAATATTAGAATTAATACTTGAAACGCATTTGATTGACATAACAAGACTTATATTAAACTTAAATTTGGCATTGAAAAAAAAAATGATTGAATGCTGCAGTGATGAATAGATGTTGGCATGAATATATTGCAATGAAGAGTTTGGCGGTGAGGAGAAAGAGTCGTCGAAATATTATGTATTGCAGTTTAATAGGTGGGTGAGAGCTTCTTCTGTTCTAATTGGTAGTAATTTAGAATTTGTGGTTTTGCGCATGAAGACGGTGAGATTACGGACAATTGGTGTGGCAAAATTGATCTGATGGGATATCGAGCGAGCTTTATTAAGAAAAAGATGGATTTCTTTGGGCCATAATGGGCGAAGAGAAAGCTTAGTTGCATCACCGGAATTGAAAAGGGTTTGAAAATTAGTGGTTGAAAGTTTGTGTGCTTGAGATATGATGTGTTCACGGATATTTGGGGATGCGCATTTAAAAACAAGTGATCGAGTTTTAAGAATACTATTGCTGTTTGTGGGGTTTGTCTTTTTGTGTGTCCAGTTTCATGTTGATGCTATGAAATGTGTGTGGTTATTGAGGCCAATGGCAGAGAACATTTTATTGAGTATCTCTCTGTCTGGAATATTGAGGTTTGTTGGCAGACCTGACAATAAAACCTCGCAGTCGTCTCTCAAATGAGAGGTTGTAGGAAGAGTGTTTATCTGCGAAGGCTCAAGTGACTTGATGGAGCTTTTAACCACCTCAATCTCGACAATAATGTCCGATATCGCTCCCGCATTTAGACGAGAAGCCTCTTCTAGTTCCGTCACACGATCTAGAGAGAGAGAGAGAGAGAGAGAGTTGAGTTGAGTTGAGTTGAATAAATTTATTCGGCCACAGGGCAAGCCCCATCTGGCACATTTGTATTTACATTTATGTATAAAGTTGCTGATATTAACAATAACAGCAACATTAATAATAAGTTATGCTTATGTAACGTGGTGTAATAAACAGTAATAGTAGTAGCAATAGTAGTAGTAGCAGTAGTAGTAGTAGCAATACTAGTAGTAGCAGTAGTAGTAGTACATAGTGTCTATGTAGTATATATATAAATATGCACAATAAAATATAGTAGTAATAGTAGTAGTAACATGCAGTAGAGTAGTATCCAGTAGTGGTTGCGTAGATGAGTGTGTCATGGTAGAACGTTGCGTGGATGTCATTAACTCGGTCTCGGTTCAAGTGCCCTGATGTCATGTTCAGTTGAAATGGGGATAGGTTTCGATTCATCGGCTTTGCGCATGAAAACTGTGAGATTTCGCACAATTGGTGGAGCAAAGTTCAGCTTTTGAGCTGCATCGTAGGCTTTCTGGAGCAGACTATAGATCTCGCTTGGCCACAAAGGACGGAGTCTCACTTTGCCATCACCTACGCCGAAAAGTGCATTTGTGTTTACTGAGGCTAGCTTGGTCGCATTCACTATGCAGTGGTCTCGAGTAATTGGAGAGGACAGTTTAAAAACAAAAGCTCTGGTGTTATCAGGTGCGGGCTTGCGTTTATTTTTGGGGTTCCATGCTCGAGTTTGAACCAAGAATTTGCTGTAGTCTTTTAGTCCGATGGTAGTGAAGACTCTGTCGAGCGCCTCTCTGTCAGTCAAATTCGCATCTGCCGGGAGTCCAGTGAGTAGAATCTCACACGGGTCCAACAGATGCGAGCCTGCCAGTGAAGGCAGTAAGCTGGACGAGACAGAAGCAGGGGCAGAGGCAGGAACAGAGTTGGCAGTCTTCTTCATTTTGACGATGTCGGCGCGAATTTCCGCAATTTCGGCGGCCTGTTGCCCTGACTGAGTTTCAAGTGCCCCAATACGGCCCTCAAGTCGAGACACCGACGCTTCGATGGTCAGAACGTGCTTTGTGAGGTTGTCAAGCTTCGTGTCAAGACGTTGAAGAAAGGCAACCAGTTGAGATGAAACCTCGTGTTGCAGTGATGCTCCGGTACTTGCCATGATAGTAAGAATAAGCTGCCGCAATTATGTATCTGTAGGCCTCACAGCAGACGGCACGGTCGGATCAGTTGGTATACTAGATCTCCACACACTTCACGACACAGATTACTATAGATTAAGGTAGATAGCGCGTTGTCCCTCTCTGGCGTACACAAACACAAGAATGCGCGGCTTGCTCCAATTTTGATGCAAAAATCGACGCAGTCGATCAGGGATTATAAGCTAACCTCACTTATGACGTCCAAGGTAGATGCACTAAAATTGCAGATATTTGGTCACGGCGTCCAGTTGGAGAGAATGCAAGCACCGAATTAGAATGCTTGCATTTTTTAGCGTGCAAGATCTGTAATCAAAGACGCCCGAAGGCAGCGCAACAGCAGTAAAAGGCTTAAAACAGGGAGCAGAATTTATGTACGTGTTCACTGTACTCACCAGAGAGAGAGAGAGAGAGAGAGAGAGAGAGAGAGAGAGAGATAAACAGGGCTATGTGATGCATATGGAGCAGCTGAATATCGATCAGGTGATTGATCGCGAGAATGTGGATCAAGTAGACAGCGCCATCGGCTACCGATAGGCATAATTATCAATGAGCGAGGCAGAGTTTGTCACTTTGTACGAGACCACCGACGAATACACGAGGGAAGCTAAAAGTACCATTGAGCTGGGTGTGTGTGAGAAACTAGTGTGGCCGTCCTCTGCCTGCCCAGATCGTCGCCGTGTCTACCCAGGTCCAGCCATTGTCAAACAGCCGATTCTCCGACGAGTAAGTCGAAATTTACAACGATAGAAATCTGTCAAGTGTGCTCTCTTTCGTATCGTGTCGTGATCAACCTCCATCGAACCCATACCTGCACCCACCGTAAAGGGTCATGTAAAGCCGCTTAGTATCAAGTTGAGTTGTAGAATTAAGTATTCTTATTAATTGTATAGTTAATTTAATATTGTATCAATTTGGCTACTGATATGGCGCACCTTTGTTACTGGCGCTTGAATAAATACCTTATTATTATTTTTAATTAATTAAGAATATCTAATACTTATTTCGATACTCCTCGACAACATTGCAACCGATATGGACCATAGCTTGCCCGGAGAGGCACCCGTTACAAGTCATAAATAAAAAATAAATCATTAACTATTCATTTAAACTAGCGGTATACCTCACTCACTAACGCTTTCTTGGTTTGTTAGAGTTTTGTAAGCATTTTAAGGAAGCAAGAAATTCAAAACTAGTTTTTACAAAATGCTATTAAAGCTATAATTTTGGATCGATCCTTAAGTTATTCGTAAAATAATATACCTCTGTTTTATTTAAAAAACAATAAGCCTGATTTTTTAATTGGGAAATAATAAGCCTGCTGTTTGATTTAGGAAATAATAAATTCATTGGGTAATTTGAAAAGTAATAATCGCCTTGCGTTATACATTGAGTAGTAAATACTAAAAGTTTTTGTATATTTCTCGCTGCCAGATTTTTTTGAGTGGCTTTTTCGAAATTTCTTTAACGCGTAATATATAAGATTTGAAAAAAATTTAACTCTAACTTACCATTTTCCACCACTCTGAATTTGAGATCTCCGTGGTAAAATAAGTTTCAACAGCTTTGTTCATGGAGTTTTCTATATCAAATAATTTACCATCACACGAATCGATTGAATCATTCTCCATCACAAATTGTGTCAGGGGCCATTGAGAATTAATGTTCAAATCTGTTAGTTTATTTTTCTTCCAAAATAATTCAATTTTTTCATCATGGATTTTCATTTCACCTACATTTTGGAGTTCATTACGTTTATCAATAACTTTAAAATGTATATTTGCGTCAGTGCTGCTAATCTTCGATTTTATAGTTTCATCAATAAGTTGATTCCATTCATCATAATTTGCATGACAGTTGCTTTTTTGACTGAAAATCAGAAAAAAAAATCATTAGGTGAATAATTATGAGGCAAATGTGAAATATTTATTGACTTTTGGATTTCTAATGACTTGCTATTAAGAAATAGAGATTTAAAAAAATCGCCGCCAATTTATTGACAAGGAGCTTCCTCCAAAGATGGTTTTTACTTTTTGTTAAAAATTAAAAAAAATAAAATTTTTTCATTATGGCTGGAAAGTAAGCCATTACAGCCGCATATTCTGATGCGTAAACTAGTGCACATTGCTCTTTTTCAAGAAATATATTCTTTATGCCGTTTTAAAATAAGAAAGACGGACATATAAATACATGTCATAGTCGCTAATACTCCAGTCTTAGTATCTGTAATGAAATAATAATTTTTTGTTCCTTATGATGACAAGTGATCGCATTGACCGCAGCAAGTGATTTTTGTGAAATAAATGAAAATATAATTGTATATAGAATTTCACAAAATTGTTTGACATGACGGTAAGATGAAGTATTAAAATTTTTACCGATTCTTCTGATACTACAGAGTAAACTTTGTGAATCATAAATAGAAATTAACCTGAGCTAAATATCATAAACTTTTGTTTAAAGTTCTATGGCAGTATACTTTAACAGCGGAGGGTTGTGGCCCCTGGCCCCCCCAGCGGGGGCTTCGCCCCTTGCACCCCCCACCAGAGCTACCGCCTGGACCCGCAACCCTCCCACTACCGCACAGCACACTAAAATTAAACACAACACAACTACTATACCTCTTACAATATGATAAATTCATACGATAGAATGCATTTTGGGTAGTACGCACTTTCGGATATGTCACCGGTAAACGAAGTGGTTATTCAGGGGAAATTAGTGTTTTCTCGGGTTATTTGGAGTTTTGTTTACCAATTTTAAAATTTCGTAGAAGAAAATGAAAAATTTCGTATACGAATTTACCCTAAATAGCCAGACCCACCAGTAACATACCATAAGTTCACATGATAATAGTTTTGGGGGGGGGGCGAACTTTCGGCCGTCTATAATGAAAAATAGTATACGCACCACGGCTGGGAGTGGGACATCATAGCCGTGTGCTTGCTACCCTCGGCTAGCACTCGCGCGCGGATGTAATGACCCACTGCCCAGCGTAGGTACGTAATATACTATTACATACCAGCGACCCGAAAGTAACATTTCCCTGCCGCTACTCTAAACGGGATATTGCTATTTTTTGACCCGGGGTATGTAAAATCGTATACTGGCCTACACCGAGAAAAATAAAAAAGTCCCAGGGCACGTGAAATAAGCGACCGAGGAGAAGCTGAGGTAATATACTACTTTTTCTGCCTTGCAATTGAGTAAGAGCGAAGAAGTAAGAACGAAGAAGGAATTAAGAAACGGCTTGTTTACATATTTTGTTATGGTATCAAGACCGGAAAAAAAAATTTTTTTGGAAAGAAAGTAAAAAAGTGTGTAAAGTACTTTATCAATTTGTCAATGATTTTACGAGAAATTTAGCCAGGGATTCTTGATTCTCCTATGAGCCATTTGGAAATACCACAAAAATATTCATTTTTAGGCCAAGCTTGATGAGAACCTTTCCTTAAGGGGACACACCTGTGCTTATGCCTATAAATGTAAAACATGAAAATTAAGGATTACTATTAAAATTTTTTGTTTCTGATGTTAAAATATGTTTTTATAGGTCCTTTTACAACAAAAAATATGTCTCTAGTTCCTCTTGTTATGAAAAATCATCCATTATTCATGTATATGGGTAAAAACGCCCCAGAGCCACGCACGGGCAGCGAAAACGGCCGGATTGCTCAGTTTTCAACTTGCTCGCAAAGGGTGAAATAAAATTAAAATAAATCAACCAACATAGGTTTACTTACCTCAGCTTTTTCTAGTGAGGTCGAAAATGCAAAAATATGCATCCATAACCTCAGAATGTGGACTTGAAAATAAAACACGTTGTAACTTCCAGAGTTCAACTCCGATCAACTTTCTGAGAAGCTAGATCAAAAGATCTCGCGATTTCATATCAGAAATAACTCTAAAAAAATAGTATATTTTGCACCTGGGGAGTGAAAAACTGGAAAGTCTCTTCTTTGTTCGCTACATAGGTGCAAATACAATTTTTTGTCAATCCCCCAGCCTAAAGTAACATTTTAGTTTTGCTCAGCGGGAGTAAAATGTTACTTTAGGTTGGGGTAGCAAAAAAATGGACTTTTTAGATTTCCTCGAGCGGTGAAAAGGGAAAGAGTGCACGGTCGGCCGTTTTCGAGCGCCGTGGCCTGTTCTTTCGCTACACTTTACGTTTCTTTATCTTTTACGCATTAGGCTTTAGCCATGAAAACAAACAAATACATGGTTTTTGTGAATTTTTTTCTTATCTTTCCAATGGTGCAATTGGTTTTTGGAAAATTTGTTTTGTTTTGCAAATAAAACGAAAATAATGAAACTATTAATCAAAAAAGTTAATTTATCTGTTCAAATAAGCCAATTTTCCAAAAACTAATTGCATCATTGAAAAGATGAGGAAAAAATTCATAAAAAGCATGTATTTGTTAATTTTTATGGTGAAAGCTTTACGCGTGATAAATAAAGAAACGTAGCGAAAAAGAGGCCACGACGCTCGAAAGCGGCCGACCGCTCACTCTTTCCCTCTTCACCCCTCGAGAAAATCGAAAAATCCCTTTATTCTGATATAAAATCGCGAGATCTTTTGATCTAGCTACTCAGAAAGCCGATCGGAGTTGAACTCTGGAAGTTACAACGTGTTTTATCTTCAAGCCCATTTTTGAGGTTATGGAGGCATATTTTTGCACTTTCGACCTCACCAATAGAAAGCTTAGGTAAAAACCTATCGAAAACCTATTTTGGTCTATTTTTCTGAATTTTAGTCAACCCTTTGCAAGCGAGTTGAAAACTGAGCAATTCGGCTGTTTTCTGCCCGTGCGTGGCGCTGGGGCATTACTCGCGTTCTTACCCATATTGACTTGTGATTTCTAAGTCATTGACCGCATGATTTTGAATGCAATTTTTTCCAATCCTGATCCTTGGAGTCTCAAAAGTTTTGAAATTAAGTTATTTTCCACTTAAGTGTAGCAGATTTTTTATTGAGTTATTTTTTTAATCTACTAATCTTCAAATATAGCAATAAGCATTATTAAAATAGCTATTTTCATCCCTTTTTCGTACTTCAGTATGAAAAAAACTTTCCTAGTCTTTTGTTTAAATTTTGTTACACTTAAGTTGAAAAGAATTTTATTACAAAACTTTTGAGACCCCAAGGACCCCAAAGACCTCAAGGTCACTAATCGATTCCTCGTCAAAAAATACATAAAATAGATGGGTTTGTGAATTTTTTCAACAATTTTGATCATTTTTATCGCTAAGAATCAAAGTTTTTCCCATTTTAAAGTACATGTGAACTTCAAGCTGCTTGGGGGCCACCGTAAAATCATTTTTTCTAACTCTATATACCGGCTTTCTCATTGTCCAATCAAATAGAAAACATCTAGTTGGGGGGAGAAGCAATACAAAAAAGTCGGGAAATAACAAATACCCTACACGGAAAAACTTTTGACCATGTTTCACGCTCGAATACATAGAGATACATTCACGCTCTGAGTCGAGCACAATTCATGCTCAGTCCTGAGCGCGAAACGCCCTCGAGTTCTGTCGAGTGCGAATTATGACTGACGCTGAACAGGATATTACCTCAACTCAATCTGGAAAGGTATTGGCGCTCGAAGTCGATCACAGTTCATGCTCAGACCCGAGCACGAAATGCTCTCGGGTTCTGATGCAAGCGAAATAGTCCTGAATCTTGAATTTGAAAGATGAATGTGTCAAGTTTCAAAAACTTGAACAAAAATCTTTCTTTGATCGTTAATTTAGGCATCTGCGTACAATGATCTTATGCCTGGTGTTTAACATCTTTATAAAAATACCTTTATGATGAACAGTAATCAAGACCAACTCTATAACGCTGTATGCGCAAGGCTATATGCGTTACGCAGCACACAGCATTAGCATGACAGAACACAGGGGAAATGTGTTGGATTCTTAATATCTTTTGGAAATGGGTGGCAACGCCCATTTATAATAATATCATTTGAAAGCGAATAAGATTTTCTTTAACATGTATTAATTTCATTAACTTGTAAAGCGATTTGAGCTCACGTAGTACACTAAAAACGGCCACTTCCCATAAGATCTAATGTTAAATGGCCAAAACTTTGAATCTCATTATTTCCCAAGTTTGCATGATAACCCCACATTTTTTTCCAAAAACTTGTAATTTCATAAACTATCATTGGTTAAAATTTCACTTCGATCTAAAGTTTTTTTCATTTTCGCTAGTCACCTTGTTTTGTATTTGCATTGATTTATTTTGAAAAACACTTTGTAAAACCAAAGTGACAGTCATTTCATAGTAATTCAAACGACTATAACTTTTAATTCATTGTAAAATTGACCAAGTATTGCATTGTGGACGGATGTTGCGAGAGTCACCATCCCATATATATTTCTTACATTCAATATTTATTTATTGTTTGTTAAATCTATTCAGTAGTTGTGACTGAGTTACGGAATACACTGAGAAAAATTCGAATGCTATTCACTTTCGAGTCAAGTCGAAATCTGTCTAAGCGCTATGGTATGATATAAGCTCAGAAGGTCTTGAGCGCAAATCGCACTCACCGCAACACTGAAACAAACTCAGCCGAACTCGAGCGTGATTCACGCTCAGCCTCGAGCGTCAATCGCGTTCAGTGCTGATGACGAAACGAGCTCAGCAGAACTTGTGTGAGGTTCATTTTCAGCATTCGAGCGTGAAACATGGTCAAAAGTTTTTCCATGTAGTCGGCAGCTATGAACTCCCGACTCTTGCAGATTTTGCGACCGGGAGCCATGAAGAGAAAATGAATATGAAATAAGGGACTTGTGAAGCGTCTTGCCGATTTTCTGATTGGCAGAAACAACGTCCACAAGAAGGTGATCAAGATTTCTGATTTCGAATTTAAAAAAAAAGGAACTTTAAAAGTACTATTGTAGATATGATATCGTTGTGATAAAAAACGAACAAACAAAAAATAGGAATATAAACTTACAACCATATGGGTAATATGAATCTAAATATTAAATTACGTCGGTTTTTAAAAGAACCACTTTTAGTGCACCTCCATTACGTATAAAAATTACTAGAATATTTCATAAAATTATAACTTACCAAATACCTTGTAAGGATGTTATATAAATATTGAGAGCATCTAATACTTCATTTGAATTTTCTAAATTTTTTATGGCAGATTGTAATTTATTTTCTAGTTGATTCATTTCTGAGCCGCTGTAGAGTTTACTGGAAATTTAAAACCAAAAATTTAATATCAAAGTACATTTAAGTCATTTTAAGTAGGCTTATTGACGAGTAGCGTCATTTAGTCAGATTGAACGTTTTTATTAGTTATTTATGTTATAAGTGCTTAAAAAGTGTTTTTAAGACTGCGTGCGCGAAACACAGGTTTTTTAAACTTGAATCGTCAGAAAACTCTAGTTTCTCGCAAGCACGGTTAAAAATTTTTGTTTGCAACTAGTCCACGAGGATTTTGAATCACCCACGAGTCTTTGCACCCTCGCTGCGCACGGGTGAACAAAAATCCCGAATGAGTCAATATCTTAGCGCACTTGTTACAAAATATACTATTTTACGCTTAGTGTATGCATGAGTCTTGGATACGTCAGAAACGAGTTACGCGCGTTGCATATAAAATTGTATAATATAAGGAGTCAGTAATGCTTAAATAACAAGTATGATGTTTCACACCAATGTGAAAAATTTTACAGTGACAAAAGTCTAAAAGCGTTTTTTATGCTATACTATTGCTTATAAGCTCTCTTGTTAGAAGTAAAAAATAATTTCCGTGTGAGAAATTCTAAAATTTTATAAATAAATTGAGTAAACGAAGACTTAATTTTAAGGTGACTCTTTACTTAAATAGTTTTTCATACGAGGTCATGAAATTATGGGACAAGGTTAATTAGTGATCTAATTATCTCCCTGCAAAATTTCAGACCCTGTTGTCATGCTAATTTTCCAGAAAAGGCCATCAAAAATTGACTTTTTAACACGGCGTATATACGCGCACATTTACTTTTGGACCCTTCTTATTGAATGTCTCACAAAATATATCATACAGCTCTTCCAAAAATTGATAATATAAAGTTGAAAGTTAAAACTTTCGATTGGTATATTAAAAAGTGAATACTTTCATGCTCATTATTGTAATATATGTCCGAAAAAGTGAATTTTTATGGTCCGATTGAAGTTTTGTCGTCTGCTGAAGAGGAGAGCAGACGCTTAGAACACTACAGCATAGGGTCCTCGGGCACCACAAGAGTCAAAACAAACTAACTGCACTCGTATTGACTAGCCGAATAAATAAAGAGTCACCTTAAAAAACGTTAATCGGACAGACTTTTTTCAAGTCAGTCTTTAACACAGGAACACAAAATAATCTTCGGATCCAGAGACCGGACCTAGGGGAATTTTTGTTTTTTCGTTCGCTGAATCCGCACCCGGTGTTGGTTTTTCAAAAACAGATCGATTTAAGGTCATTTGAAGGTCACTTAAAGGTCAAATCATGAAAAAAGGTAAAAAAATCTGAAACATTTCCTATATAGGTTTTCAAGGATGCTGAATTCAAATCTGAAGTCAAATGACCTTTAGTAGAGGTCCTATACGACCTTATTTTCACGGTTATTTGAAGGTCAAACCTAGTGAATTCAATGAAAAACCATAAAAATCACATGTACCTTTTGAGGATCGCAATAGTACTTTATGCAACTTTTATATCGGGGTTTTTTTCGTCCGTCCAATATATTTATTATTGGCTTATTAAAGGCAGGCAGGTCGATTGAAAATAAAAGAACACCAGTGTGTTGCATGAATCATGAACTTTTATTTTTATAATTAGTAATACCTTACGAACTATGGTATAACAGCTTGACTTTACTGGCGTCCGACGAAAGAGTTACAAAGGTGATAAGAACCGCAGGCGACTCCGGCGGAAGCTGATAGTAGACGGTCGAGCTCGCGATGACGTAGTAGGTGAGGCCTTGTTGATTATCCCTGAACTTGGTCGGCAGAGGTCGACGAAACTGCCGGTGACTGCTTGTAGAGGTGGCGGCTAAGTTCACTCGGGCAGCCGACGGCTAAGTCCAACTCAGCGTCCCGAGACTAAGTCCAAGTAGGCTTTCAGAGACTGAGTCCCCTTAAGCTATCAGAGACTAAGTTCGAATAAACCTTCAGAGACTAAGTCCTATTTGTATAAAAATGGCTCGCGAACTGGACAGAGCTTCGCCATATGAACGAGTAGAGAACACTGGTCCCTCGTGGTGTGTTTTCGCCCCGTATTTGTACTGTTCTCCGTGGGAAACGAACTGATACTTTCATAAGCTCTGCGTGCCGCAAGGAACACTCAAGCTATTTTTACCTTTTTGCAGAACATGCAACATACATATATACTCCGTGCAGCGTACAATATACAAATATACTCCGCACAGCTCATACATACTCTTCGTAGAACAGTTGAAGATATGTATACTTTTCGTGGAACGTACAGCATACATATACCTCGCATGTAGCATATTCAGTGTATGCCTATTGCCGTGTTATAAGTTCTTGCGTCGTATGTTTTTGTCGAATGTGCAGAACGTACAATATATAGACTTCACATGCAGCCTACGCTGTGTATAGTGTGCGCTCGGCGCTGTATTATAAGTTCTTGGTTAGTCTCGTGCTTGCATTCGAGCTTATTACTGCGTTCGTTACGTTATATTCTTGGGATATAATACAACGGATGTTGTTATGTAGTCAATAATTACACATACACTGTAGTTTCAAGTATATATTTATTATTAAGGTAAGTAAATAAAGTACGGTGTACATTGTTACTCTGGTCCTCTTTGATGTCCGCTTACGAATGCACTCTGACTACAGAGTCGGGCATCGGCTCGTTATCGGAGCTCCGAAACGCTGCACGCATACCTTTGGCTAATACCAATACATCACAGGTGTGGATATGCATTTTCATAACGCGTGTGAAAAAGTTTATTTACACAAGTTGTATACAATATTTTATATCACAAGATCCTAAAACTAGCGGCAAAGTTGCGTTTTTTTGGTTAGAGTTCTATAAAGTTCATTTGGGTATAATATACCCAGGTGAAAATAGTATGTAAGATCTGACTCCAGATCTGGCTTCAGATATGGTTTAAGATCTGACAAATGTACGCCAGATCTGACAAATGTACGCCAGATCTGCAATCAGATCTGATACCAGATTTTGTATTCGATAATCGACATCAGAACTTATATCAGATCTGACATCAGATCTAATGTCAGATCTGAAGTGACTGTATTGCCTCTAATTAATTAAACAATAAGTTTATTAATAATTAAAATTTTATAATGAATCTTAATAATAAAAGTTGTTGAATCAATTTAAATTCACATTATCAGAAACCTAAATATTGTAGGAATTTTTCTTAAAGATATTATCGATGTGTCTATTAAAATATAACTAAATTTGTTATATTATTTTAATTATTAATAAACTTATTGTTTAATTAATTAGAGTCAATACAGTCACTTCTAATGTCAGATCTGATATAAGTTTTGATGTCGATTATCGAATACAAGATCTGGTATCAAATCTGATGTCAGATCTGGCGTACATTTGTCAGATCTTACATACTATTTTCACCTGGGTAAGATCAATTCAAAGACATCGAAAGGTCATTTTAAGGGTAAATATAGTAAACGCGATAAAATAATGGAAAAATATTGCGTATAGGTTTTTGGAGCCCACGAATTCAGCTTTTTTATTGAGTGACCTGTAGAAAGTCAAGGTTAACCGATTAACGCGAAAAAGTGCAAGTTTTTGCATGAATTTTCCATTGTAAAAAAATCATAGATAAAGCTAAAACCTTTCGCTCAGTGGGAGTAAAACGTTACTTTTGGTTGGGGTAACACAAAAAATTTTTTTCCAAAGTCGATTTTCTACCTATCCCTGCCTTCCTATAACCCCAGCAATCGTCCATTTTTTCTCTAAACCTTCAAGAAACGCGTTGCTGCCATTTATATTTAGCCCTATATTTCTAAAATGGCGGATTTATATCGAGCAGCAATATATAAATTAACTCATTTTTTACTCGGAAACTATTTAACATGCGCTAAATATTAACTAAAAAGTACGATTTTGAGGGCAAAGAGGTATTTGAAATTGTTCAGAGAATACGTGTGAATTTTTTTAGAATTTTTCAGACCTCTTTGAAAATTTTGCAAAATGACCGGAATTGAAAAAATCCAAAATGTTCTAAAAAAATTCTGAAAAAATCCACGCGTATCCTTCAAACGAATTCAAATACTTTTCATTCTATAACTTTTTTTTATAAAGTCAATAATTTCTGAGTAAAAATGAGTGAATTCATATATTGCTGCTCGGTATAAATCCGCTATTTTATAGGGGCTAGATAGAAATAGCAGCAACGCGTTTCTTGAAGGTTACGAGAAAAAGTGCACGATTGCTGGTATTATGGGAATCCTCTAAAGACAGGACAAGGTAAAAAATCGACTCTGAAATAAAATTTCAAGTCAAAAAATCTCTTTTTTTAAGTGCAAAATGAACGATGATAATTTTTATTTATTACAAAAATAACCCCGGATTCTTAAACAGCATCCGGGCTATCGCGCGTTCAAACACCTTTGCCAGATTTGATATCAACGCTATTGGGCGGTAGTTTCCAACATCCGTTTTGGCTCCTTTCTTATGAACTGGACCGATTTCAGCCGTCTCAAATTGATTGGTCACTGTTCCTTGATTGTTAATATCATTCATAATGTGTGTCAGCGGGGCTACAATATGACCAGCAGCAAGTTTCAGCACCGATGCATGAATATTATCATGTCCTCCAGCTTTATCTTTTAGATGCTGTATTATGTCGAGTACTTCCAATTGAATTGTTGGGTACTTATAAATTGTATGATCATAAATCCTTACTTCCGGTGGAGGCTGTGTACTTATCGGAGTGGCAATTGAAACACCCAGATTGCCAGCTGCATTGAAAAAATATTTACTAAAAGTATTCGACGAAGTCATTCTGTGTCAAAACATCATCGACAGTTATTCCTTCAATGTTTTGCTTTTTAGACTTTGACTCAAGTTTCTTGTGTACGTATTGCCAAAGATTTCTGGGGTCAGCTTTTAGCATTTGTTTCTTTTCAAAGTGATTTTTAGCATTGCGCAATAAAGACTTGAGTGCCTTACTGTATTTCATATACTGATCTTTTTTAGCAACATTAAATGGTTCCAATTTCCATTGCTTGTAAAGTTTGTCTTTCTTGTTGACAGAGTTAATTAGTGCCTGTGTAATCCAGTTTTTTCTTGATTTCATTCTTGCGGTAACTGGCAGCGGAGACCTAGTGTATATACTCGGTATTTTGCCAATTAAGGAGGCACACCTGTGTTTATACCTATAAATGAAAAACATGAAAATTAAGGATTACTATCAAGATTTTTTGTTTCTTATGTAAAATTATGTTTTTACAGGTCCTTTACAACAAAAAATATGTCTGCAGTTCCTTTTATTATTAAAATTCATCCAGAATTCATATATATTGACTTGTCATTTTTAAGTCCTTGACCGCATGATTTTGTATGCAACAGTTATTCAATTATATTCCTTTAGGTCTCAAAAGTTTTGTAATTAAATTCTTTTCCATTTAAGTGTTGCAGATTTTTTATTTAGTTATTTATTTAATCTACTTCTCTCCAAATATAGCAATAAGCGTTATTAAAATAGTTATTTTTGTCATTTTCTTTGTACTTTTATATGAAAAAAAATTTCCAAGCCATTTCTTGAAATTCTGCTACACTTAAGTGGAAAAGAATTTAATTATAAAACTTTTGAGACCTAAAGGAATACAATTGAATAACTGTTGCATTCAAAATCATGCGGTCAAGGACTTGAAAATCACAAGTCAATATATATGAATTCTGGATGAATTTTAATAATAAAAGGAACTGCAGACATATTTTTTGTTGTAAAGGACCTGTAAAAACATAATTTTACATAAGAAACAAAAAATCTTGATAGTAATCCTTAATTTTCATGTTTTTCATTTATAGGTATAAACACAGGTGTGTCCCCTTAAGAGGTCCAAGGCTTCCTCAATGTTATTAATATTGTATACATCATGTCATGTCCTAACATTGCATCCATTTAGAAATTTCTTCACAGATAGCTTGGTCGGTCTGCTTCCTCCAACATCATCATTTCTTCGGTCACTTGCGAGCATGATAGGGTAATGATCCGTAAGCATGTTCATGCATTTCGCAGAGAACGTATCTATCTTGCTTTTAACAATTCATATGATCTATACATGTACCTGTCCCTTGTATAGCAGCAGGATGCGTAATGGAGTTTTTTTCGATTGATAGCCATTACTACTTAGAATATCGAAATATTCCTGTGCTCTGGTATCAATTGCTATAAGATCAATGTTCACGTCACCAGATATAATGTGATTTTCCGTGTTTTTATTACCATTCAAGAAGCCGGTTACATCACGAGTGAATTCCATATCATCATAGTCGTGACACCTGTAGAGGCCCGACACAGTAAAAGTACAATCCTTGAGTAGTCGTATAGTAACACTTAAGGTAGTTCCTTCAAAAAAATGACTATACATAAAGGGTCTTAAAATTTTAACCACATATTATTGACAGTACTTTTCATATGTGTGAGAAATTTCAGGAACTTTAACCAAACCATTTCCGAATTATAATTATTCAAAGTTCGGTACTTTAACGTGGGATCCCTATGCTAGCGTGTCGAAAAGACGCTATTTGTGTGATTTTAAAAAAACGCATCGATAAAATCTTTTCAAAAACTAGCAGATGATTATTCAGTATGTCCTGAAACATAACTAAAAAACTGGAAAAACTTGACCATACAGTTCTTGAGAACAATTAATGTAAAAACTTTGCAAAAATAAAAATTCAAACTTTTGGACCTGAAACCCATTCTTAAAGATTTTCAGGGTCATTTTAAACAAAAAAGTAATCTTGCAAATTTTCCCTAAAATCTATCGTTCACGAGCTATAAACGATTCAAATTTAAACAATTTCAAGCAAGCTATTGGGGAGCTATTGGGTTGAGGGTGGGATATTATTTCTCGTAATAATGTCAGCAGCGATTTCTTTAAGATTTTCGTTAGCAATAATATTAGTAATTTTTATGAGAGGGTTATTTTTTTCACACTTGTTTGCATAAATCTCCTTTTTATTCTCATTGTTCAAAACTTCCAAGTTGTCTTGGGAATCCTTATCACTCTGACACTTAACATAGACGTTACCGTTTGAATCTTAATATTTAATCTTAATATTTTAATCTTAATTTTTTCGCGTGTGCTTTACAGGCTACCTGCTGTTGTATAAGCTTCAATGTGTCACCTTTGAAGTTCTTTTTTACTTTAACGATCAATTGTACTGTATAAGTTTCACTGATACATTTGATAGAACATTTGAATACGAACGCTCCTTTTGCTTTGTAATGTTATTATTATCAGCAATCGATCGTAGGTAACTATTGTGTTCTCTGAGCTCCTTGTTTTTGTATAGAAAGTTCTCTATTCAATTCTTGTTTGTGCTCAAGCACACTCATATAGTAAACACAATTTTGACAATCATTACTAGAATCATCCGGCACACGTCTCCTTTTTTTGCTACGCTCACTCAAGGCAGAGCTCCTATCATCATCATATTGAGAGGCTGAATCCATATCTTTATCCACCTCAGCTGCTTTAGCATCATTTGAGACACTGTTAATTTGATTATGTATTAACACAAGCTTCAATTTCAAACTACGCAACTCATTATTGTTTTGATCACATGAAAGGTCGGTGGGATACGTTAGATTTTTGTGCTCTGGGCACACACTAATATGTCTTGTAATGAAGAAAGCCTTGCCATCGTCCTTCGTAAAGTCCGATTCGTCACTTTCTTCGTAAAGTCCGATTTGCAGTAGACTACATCACACAACAAGCACGCCACACTTCGCACTTCCACCGATTTATGACATGCTTGTTTCATACACTTATCCGGCGGAATATCCTGCGGGTCTACACTTATCCAATCCATGTTTATTAACAAGAACAATCACTATACAGAGAACGGCTTTTAGAGATGTTTACACTTTGAACGTCAAACATCGAATACTCTTACCTTTTTTGGATATGCAATTAAAGTAACTGGATGGTGAATTAAAAAATAAATATATCCTTTTTAAAATTTAAGGGGTTGTTCTTCATGACTTCCTTGATATTTACCCGAAATTTCAGCCCCGGTTGTCGAACTAACTTTCGAAAACGATTAATGTAAAAGTCGCGTTTTCAACGTGGGCTCTTATGGGCGTACTGCCAGAAATTACCTTTATTAACTGTATTTTGGTTATCTACGAACAGATATGAATGAAAAATATATAAATATATATTCAATATTGAAGATGAACTTTGTTGTAATTGCGCTACGTAGCGGTGCCTCATCTGTTTATTAATAACAACACAGATGCGCTAAATCTTTACTATTATTATTAAAATCACCCAGCTGCGTTAAATAGTAATAAATTTTTGTAATATTATTCTATTTTTTCCCTTTCCCCTCAAGTAACAGTTTACCCACGTATCAGTATACATTATCAATTTTGTATGTTTTAATTAACTTTATTATAATAGTTATTTATAAATTAATATTTTCAATCAAACAGACTTTTAGAAAATTTTATTATTAATGAAACATACTACTCACCCAATATTATCTACAATTAAAAAAGTATTTTTCAAATTCGAACTTTGGAGTTTTTCATTAGAGATATTTTCAGAAGTTATAACAATTATAAAAGCATTGTTCACTGAATTGAAAAATTCTTCATTCCATTCTCCAAAATAAATGATATGCGATGTTTGCTCTGTCAAGAATACGAACGTTGAATTAAAAGTTATTGTAACTAGTTGATAAAATTAATTAACAAGCTGCTGTACAGAAACTTTAACAATCGAAAATATGTGCATATAGTTTATTTTATATATTATATAATATAACGAATATATTGTTCGTTATTATCTTTCCCGCCTATTGGGCAAGAGCCTTTACTAATGTTATACATTATTTATACTTAATAATGAAATATTTATTAATTAATATTTATCTATTGCTAATTTGATAATGGTCGATTATTGTGTGACGGACTGAAGCGGGACGAGCGAGCACTAGCAGAAGAGAGGTAAAAAGAGAATAACTTTTGACGCTCGTAGTCTAATGACGAAGGCATACGAGCGGATTCCTATTTCGACAACAATCGTGACATATACAGCAGAGTCAATTCAAATTGCTCTCTGTAAGCAATATTTTTACCTCTTCAAAGTCAAATTCATGTTGGTATTTTAACTAGTGAGCTAGAAGAACTAAAACAGGATTTTTATTTTTGATGTGCTCATTCATCCATTTTTGAGAGCTTTGTTAGTTTGACCGATGTACGTCGCATTACAAAATTTACTGTCAAACTTATAAACCGTATTGACACAGTCTACAGTTGCCGTTATATCTTATCCGCATCTGACGATATGGTCAATCTTGCTGTTGATTCAAGGAAAGAATCTTACATTATGTTTTCATTCTATGTGTTTCATTGTCAATATCAAACGCGGATCTATGGAAAATGTAATGCAGTCTTTTGTCGATGTATTTTTGGTAGAAATGGATGGGGTAGGCATTTTGCTGGAGAATCTTATAAACGATTTGGATGGCACGTATATGGTGAATATCGTCCAAAAGTAAAATAGCTCTATCAACTAAGTTGAAGGTGTTATTAAATTTGAATTCCAATAGGTGGTTAGATTTGAAATTGATTGTTATTTGAGAAGCAATCTCTTTTCTATATTTTTTTTATATTTTTTTTATATTTTTTACACATATATTTTTTTCTATACCACTTAGTGATGACGTGAAACTTGTTCCTTGAGAAAGTAACATCCAGGAAATTCAAAGCTCCATTGGTTTCTATTTCATGAGTAAACTTGATGCGGGTGTTGTGACTGTTGAACACATCAAGAATGGTATCGACACGTTCCAAGTTTACACATGCAAAGCTATCATCCACATATCGCTTATTCTTTAACCTACTCCAACAGCTCGATTCCAAATCTGAGAGTACAAGATCTGCAAACATACGCGATATGGAAAAGTCCATAGGACTTCCTGCTATCGGTCTATAAAATTTGCTGTTAAAAGAAAAATAAACGTTGTTGAATAAAAATCTAGTGTATTTAATGATCTCAGCAAAGGGAAAGAATTTGACTTTTAAGGGGTAAAAATATTGCATACAGAGAGCAATTTGCAAAAAAGATTGTTAGCTGAAATGTTTTACATTAAAAAATGCCATAATGCAATTTATTAAACAAGAAGACACAAAAAAACCTCACCTCTGTATATGGAAATGTTTCGAAAAGACTTGAAATTGCAATTATTATTACTTGTTTGTATTGTTGACATTTGTATATGTCTCATATACATGGCATGTATTTTTGTATATATGGCGATCCCTCCTACATGTTGTATTAATTTCACTCACAATTCCAATAAATCAAGGAGTGTATTTGTAGACGACGATATTTGCTATAATTTATTTTATATTGTTTTTGACATAATTATTAATTTTTTGATCCTATTGTCATAATTTTCTGTAAAGCTTGATGAGGTCGAGAAAATCGACGTCACACTTGATAAAGTTTGACTGCAACATGATTGTGTTGCTCAACACGGAGAATGATTTGACTATTATTTCTTCACCTCCTGCTTAAACTGTTCGTTTAGCCGAGGCTAAAAAATCCTGACATAAGTTTTAGTTTAACTTCAAACGATTGGTTCTATATTTCCGCCCGACCTTCCAGCATGCAACTGTGTGGGGTTGTATGATTTTTTTAGTCGTGACTTGCGTGACCTTTCACGAATCCTCGAGAATTCTAGCATTACAATAAATATGTACATTTATTTTTTATTTTCTTTGCCTCTAAACTGATGTATGATATTTGAAAACTCGAGCAGATTTTGAGAAGAGATTGAATTTATGTTTAATGTCTTATATTATCTATGTTCAAATAAAGTAGGCGTACCTCTCGAATAACGCTTTTTCAGAATAATCAGGGTACTTTTCGTGGGTTATTGACTTTCAAAAATCAAGAACGGAGAACTTGGGGAAGTGTAAGATACCACATGGGTACGAATTAAAAATAGCGAAAAATTCAAGATAAAAACAATAGCCACCAATGAAACAAAAATACAGTTGTAGCATTTGCAGTACAGCATCCGAACCAAGTAACGATCAAGGTGCTTATAAAAATAAGAGATGAGTACTAAAAATTTCAAGTAAAGCAAGAAGAACTTTATTATGTAGTAGTTAAAAATTTACACTCGATCAGAAAAACTTGGAAGACAATCATCAGGATCATAAACCTCAAGCAGAAAATTTCACGAGTGACTCTTCCAATTTTTCTCAAAGAATTAATAGCAGCAACATTCGATAAAAAACCACTGCCAATTCATTGGCTAAGAGCTTCCTCATAAAAGAATATTTGTTCATCCTCCAAGAGGAAACTTTGTGATCAAAACGAGGTCTTGAACTGAAGTCATAAGAAAATTTGGTTCTGATAATTGAAAACTTGTAATGTCACAACTCCACAATGTCATCTGCGTGAACGGAAATGCATCGACTACACGGTACATAACAATATGATTATTGAAAATATAATCATTTCGCATTTGTAATAATAAAATAGTTTTATTGAAAATGAACAAGAGGACATAGACCCCTTAAACCAAAAAATAGACATATCAATGAATTTTTTTAATTTTTCGAAGAAACTGTATGAATTTTTTAGAATTTTGAAGAACTCACGCTTGCAATGGAATAACCCATTCATAACAGTAGTATAAGCATCCATTTTGCATAAACATAGCCTTGGGGAGGTTTGGGTTGGATTTACTTACATGTCACCCCTCTTATAGGTAAGAAAGTCATCATGTGTCAAACATATTCCAGGCCAGTTTCACCTTGGCAGTTCAATATTCACTGTTTTTTTGTACCCATTCTTACTGGCTCTCATTTACTACATATGACAATAATAGGTTATCTATTCTTTGACTGCTACTCTTCTCTATTATTGCAGGCCGCGATTGAAAGTACTTGACAATTCATAATTTTTGATACTATGTTCTGAGTACATTTTCATTAACTTAATTCTCATAAAAACTTCTACGAAACGTTATCCCGTTTATTTTGTTGAACGAGTTTGTTCCGCTCATTTGCTCGTGTGAGTAAATCTCTCAGGTGTGTATGAGATGCGCCGAGCGGTCATCAGTCAATCCAAACCGGCTCGCGTAGCTGTGCTGACAAAAGCTCCTTTCGATTTACTCGAGTACTCATTTCAATAGGCTAAGGGCCCAGCCAGTGAAAGTTTTTAAAAAATCGCTTGTTTTTCCCGACATTATGCTCTGTATTCCACAAAGATTGTGAAGTAGTGAAAAGTGTTATTGCTAGAATTTGAGACATCATGTCGGACGAGTTGCACGCAATGAGGATGCGCTGGTTCAATGGAGAAAATTCTAAGTCTGGAAATTTCACATGCGCCAGGTTTTGGTGGCTAACGCCTACCAATCTGAATAGGACCGAGGGTGTAAAGTGGACCAGATAAGATGCAAAAGCAGTCTACTCCCTGCCATCAGCCATGAACGACGAGCTAGTTGAAAATTGTCTGACTTGCGAAAGTGCGAAGGAAGTCTGGAATAGAAAAAAATTGATTCACGAGTAAAATTCTGCAACCAATAAGTCGTCCATGCTTCAAAAATTCTACTCGTGTCGCGTGGAAGCATGTGAGTCAGTAGTACAATACATCACGAGATCGAAAATTTGGCTCGGCAGTTGAGAGACTTCGAAGAAAAAATATCAAGTACTGCCACAATATCGAAAATTCTCGGCAGTCTACCATCAAAATATAACGGCTTCTTAGATGTGATAGCGTTGACCCTGCCAATCAAACGTTGAAAATATTACAAGAAAGGCTTCTCATTGAAGAAAAGCGACTCACAGAGCAAGATAATCAAAACAGTGCTTTCGTCGACTCGTATAATGGAAATCGTGGGGCTAGAAACAAAATAAATAATCATCAACTACAAAAACAGTCTAACAGCAGTGGGAGCCGAGACACAAAGCCTTCATGTTACTATTGTAAAGGCAAAGGCCATTACGCCCGAGATTGCCGTAAGAAGCAGATAAATCAGCAGCGATTTGTTGAAGAAATCAATGACGAAGACAACAACAACAACCACTACGCTCATGGTTTCATAGCCACTTTAAATGTAGATAACTTACTGAGTCTTTGTTGCGCTACGATCTCTGCGATTGATGAAAATATTGAAGCTGTGTTAAAGCTCGGTATTAATGACTGCTGGCTTGCCGACAGTGTAGCGAGCGGATCTTGTGCTTTCAGCGCGAGTGGTTTTTGGACTTCGAGTCAGACGGTAGAATCTGCCTTGGTGATGATTATGTTTTGAGCGTCAGTGGATCGGGCACGATTGTGGTGCAGAAATATATCAACGGTATCTGGATACTTGGAGAGATCAAAAATATGCTTTTTGTGCCAAATTTAAGAAAGAACCTGTTCGCAATCGGAGTATGCACCTCAAAGGGTTTTCGTGCTCTTTTTGAAGATACGAGGTATGATATTTCAAAGTTTAAAAAGGCATTTAATTGCCAGTGTCATCAAGCAGTCCAAAAAAATTTGGAGATTACTTTTTAGAGTCGTTGTGCCATGCGAGGCAACTGTGGCCAGCGTGGACCTACGCTTTCTCCAGAGCGCGCAGAACATGTCAATACGAAGAAATTGACCGAGATCAACAATACAGGAAAACTCAAGGGCATACATGCAAGAAAAGGATCAAACGCATGTTGTGAAGCATGTCAAGCAGTAAAGGCGTGCACTTCCATTCAAGAACAAGCCTCAATGCCTTTGGAAACTGGGCAAATTCTTTTACAGCTGCGGGCCGATGTCACCATGCTCTTATGCCCTCCAGTATGCTTTTATGCACTCTTGTAGATGTTTTGTATAAACTCTTGTTTCTTATGTTTTAATCCTTCTAATTTTATGTATAAGATTGTATGTTTGAAAGGTGTGCTGATGCTACGAAAATTTGCGAATGAGCGAGAGTGCGTCGATTATGTTCCTATGCAAATGCTTGTCAAGCGGGAGTATTGAGCGAGTTTGTTCGTGCATTTATTTATGTGAGTGAGTCTGTCAGGTGCGTATGAGACGCGCTGAGCGGTGACCAGTCAGTCGGAACCGGCCCGCATAGCTGTGATGACAAGTGCTCCTTTCACGTACTTCCACGTAATAATGAATCCATCTCCTATTCAATTCGACTTACTCGAGAACTTATTTCAATATATTCACTTAACGGGACACACAAAGGCAGGTCTATTTTTGATTCCATTTTTTATCAAACGATTATTTTAGATTGTATAGTTACCTTTACTTTTAATGAATAATTGAATAAATGAAAATTTATGAAAGATTACCATTAGAAGAATGTTACCACCGCCCATAGACGATCTTATTGACCAATGAATAAAAAATGTTACTATTTAGTCTTTGAACCAAATTAGACATAAAGAATTTCTATTTTTCGATGTACATAAGTAAAAAAAATTACTATTAAGTAGTTAATTTATTATTACCTGATGTTAAACATATTTTGTTTTTCAGTGAAGCTCTTATAAAATTATCAGCTATTTTCATTATGTTATCATTTCGAGTATTCTTCTTAATAGTTATCGCTTTCCATCGCAAAGTATCAGTAAGTTTAAGAAGAGCCTGAAATAAATGCATTAAAGAATATATTTTACGGGACAAAGAAAAATATCAAATTATTTTTAAAAAATGCAAGGAATCTACGTTCTTCGTGGAAATGAAAAAAGTTGATTTCGATAAATATTTTAAAAGGTATAAGGGTTGGCCTAGGGGAGGCCGCGTTATATATCCAAGTGCAACCTCGGAAAATTAATTTGTACCGTGGAGGCCGCGTAGGTACTTGTTCTTAATATTGTAGGCAAGTATAGTCACCCAGCTGGAGAAGTGACAACGCATTCAAGTAAAATATAGGATAATGTACCTCGAAAGATAATTTAAACTAGAAATTAAAGTGAATGATGATCATAATAATCAATTCAAGGTAATTATCCCGACCGCGAGTAGCGTAGCAGCAACAGAGGGAGAGCGAAAGGGGACCCCACGGAAAGTTACAGCGTGAAAGAAAAATTTGGTACTTACAAGATAGACGAAGGATTGCTGTCCAAGTATATCACCCGGTCGCACCGCTGTACAACAATTCCAACTCATAAGGATAGCGCGTCGTCGAATATCTCCCGAATTGGCCTTATAAAACACGGGTCTCGCAAGTGTACGCTGCACGATGCTAATTCCGCGATAGCCAAAACAGATCTACGCAGTTCTTGAGTTTACAGGGGACAATTTCTCTACAATAAATCCGTACGTGCTGCCATCATACGCATATCGAACGAGTGTTACAATTAAGAGTCTGTTTATTCAGTATCGTTTGCATACGTGAACTGAGGTACGAAAAAATGAATTTTAATTTTTTCTAAATTTTTTTATTTTAAAATTTTATCATTCCGAAATATTGTTCTTCAGAATTTGCACGAGCTGAAGGCAAAATTTTGGCTCGTACAATTTTTAAATATAAAAAAAATTTATACCCGAGAAACCTATAATAACCCAATCGACCCAACTCGTGTATTTAGCACCAGGGTCGCGTAGACTAGACCCAATCTAATTCTGTCCGGTCCACAGAGTGGTGTAACGTGTATAAGATCAATAGCTCAACTCAATGTACAGCAATATTTTGAATTATTCTAACCGTTGAATTTGCGTGATGTGTGTATCCATGTGTGCTTGTCATGTTGTTTGTGTCGCCATGTGGTCGATATACTGTTAACATTACTTGTATGAGTTAGTTTACCTGAAGAGGTCGACGTTGTTCGGCGAAACGTCGCACGAATTGTTAATAAAATATTAATTATTTCGGTTAGATTTACCTTTCTAACCAACGGTGAAGCCTTCATCGCCGATAAAATTCTTAAAATAAAATATAGAAGGCATGACTTTGATAAATTAAAAATAGCTTATTTTTGCTATTTTAGCAGTTTGACACTGTGCGCAAGGTTCAGATCAGAGTTTTTGAGGTTGTCACTTTTGGTATAGTTCAAAATTTTTAGAATAGTATGTAGCGTTAGGTTAGGTGGGGAGGAATAAATAAAAACAGAAAACTGAAATAACTAAATAAGTTCAACTATGATTATTTATCAAAATATTTGATGTTATTGAATAAAAGGCACCACTGCATGATACGGCAATGCAGACCGTCGTACTAATTTCATCTATTCGTTCGCGAGTTCGCATCGACCGGCTCGGCTCGTCGGCGAGATGTGATTCCCGGGTGCGAGTAATTACGTACGCGACGGACGCGGTGACTCGAAGGTAAAGTTACGGCTTAAAGCTACCTTAACGCTAAAATCTTCGGCACGTCGTTGGGTTGTCGTCGTCGTCTCGTCTCGGTGTTGTTGACAATGGCGGCTGATGGTGTCGAGGGTCGATGACCGCGCTCGCTGTCTCTGCGATGCAAAAAAACTTCACTTGGGCTCGTCAGTCCAACTGGAGGTTTGGCAGTTCGTCGAGCACACACACACATACAGTAGATTTAACAGAACGTTGACACTTTCTCTCGAAAATAAACTTCGTGTTCTTCGTTTTTTCTGTTTCACTCGAGGTTAGTAGCCTCATCTCGTTTTCGTGGCACGAGAGATTCTGCGATCTTTTTCGCTGGTTGATAGATCGCAGCATCGCGCGCGCCTCGCTTGGCGCTGCGTACGTAATTCGGAGGCACGTGACGCTGCAGGCTCATCTCGTCGTGTATGTGCGCTCGTGTGTGTCCATTCTGTAACCTACTGTGTACGCGCGAATATCGACTCGCGGGCCTCGTAAGTCGCCACTTGTAGACAGTACATTAGATGTACTGCTACAAGTACCTTTTATGGACTCAGTTTTCTGGAATTTTGATTTAGACCTTCATATCAGTTTTTTTGTTTAATATGTGCTCAAAAACGTTAATAAATTTTCTTATTTTTGGCTTTTTTCCCATCAGCTGGTGCACAAACTTTTGTACAGCTTTAATCACTGCTAAAATAGCAAAAATAAGCTATTTTGTGATGCAAAGGCACATTCTGCCAATTTTTCGACATTTTTTAAGGCTCAAAGATGTTAAGATACCAAAAATAGTATCGTATGTGTGTGCTCTCGTATTTTCGTTATCGCCAACTTACCGACCGGCATGGTATGTCGTGTGCGTGTGGTGGGGAAAAACGACTGCGATTGAGTACAGCACTGCGCCGGAGCCTGTGAGGCTCTCACTTATATTTCTGTACGCTTACGAGTAAGGACCTACGTCCCATATTTATATTTTTTCACATATCATTAATAAATCAGTTTTATATTAAAGTGTCATCGTGTTCATTCACCACTTCACTCGCTACAGGTTATGGGCCCAGCGAGATTCGTATAGAGTAAAACGTGGTGCAGTGTACTGTTTTATTTGTTTCACCTGTGAAATAGTTTTTTGCTATGTTTTTTCTACCTTCCGAATTGGCGGAGCACAGTACGTCTGACTATAAGAACATCCCTAAGTTCAATGGGCAGAATTTCCAGTTATGAAAATTTCAAATTAAAGTCATACTGGTGGCCCAAGATCTCCTGGAAATTGTCGAAGGGACAACAACAAAACCCGAGCCCGGTAACGCGAACGCTAACGCAGCCGCGGTCAAGTCATGGGTGAAGTCCAAGGCGAAAGCCATGTTTGTAATATCATCGGCAGTGGAGTACAGTCAGCTCAACTACCTGGTTAATTGTACAACCGCCTCTGAAATGTGGACCAAGCTATCAAACATCCACGAGCAAAAGAGTACTTCGAACAAGCTCGCTTTGACGACAAGGTTCCACGAGTACAAAAAGTCATCGAGCGACACCGCCTCGCAGTACATAGCAAAAATTGAAAACTTGGCAAGTCAACTCAAGGACATCAGCCAACCGGTACACGAAGTCATGTTTATGGCTAAAATTATCAGCACCTTGCCAGCGAAGTATAACGCCTTCATCTCAGCATGGGACAGCGTACCCGAGGAGGACCAATCCCTCGACAGACTACGTGAAAGGCTACTGCGAGAGGAGACCCGGATGACGAGCGACCACAACGTCGACAGGGCCTTCGCAACGACCACGAATCACGATCGCCCAAGGAGCAACGGAAATCATCATCAAGCCAATGGTAAAGAGAAGAGCGAGAAGAGAAATTCGGTATGCAACTTTTGTAAAAAACCAGGGCACGTTGCTAAATATTGTTTCGCGAAAAAACGCGCTAATAAAGCGAAAAAAGAGAGCTCAAACGACGACTGTTCGCGTACCGCGGCATTTGTAGTTGCGCAACGAGCCGGAAGCTGTAATAAATCCTCCTGCGCGCATTATCCTACGACTGCGATGAGAAAGATGGCTGGTATCTCGATAGCGGAGCGTCGCGTCACATATGCTGCCGGCGCGAGTGGTTTTCAAATTTCTTGCCGACACTCGATGACTCTGTTTATCTCGGCGACGTAGCAGAGCTTAGAGTCGAAGGACAAGGCAATGTTGCCATTAAGCGATGCGCGAATAATGTATGGATGGATGGAATAATATGTAACGCACTGTATGTTCCCGCAATGAACAAAAGTTTGGTCGCTACCGGTGTGTTGACATCAGATGGATTCAAGTGTAAAATGTCGAGAGAAAAATTAAAAGGCGAAAAGTCGTTGGTAAAAAACATATTTTATTGGACCAAAACAAGAACAAATATTATGTGTTCGCTCGTCGAAAGTAATCTAAAGAATTAACTTAAAACTAGAAAAAACCAGATAACAGACAAAACAATTCGTTGCTTAGTAACCTGCATTTGAAGATGCTCCCGTAGCCTATCGAAATACAAACGTCTCTGTAGCCAAGCGAGCGTAATTTGTCATCATACATACCACCCCGCGTGTTCCTTTTGACGCATCAGCGTCGAACACCAGCGCTCACCGACATCGCTCACGACTCGGCAGCGTGGCTGACGAAAAACGTAAAAATCAAATGAATTGGCGATCGGGAACAACAAGGTCGTACTGATGGACGATGACGCGAGCATTTATTCTAAAGATAATGTGCCTCAAGCTTGCGGAACAAAATTGAGCAATAATTTAATCGCAATGCATTTTGTACCAGAAACTCGTTTTAATCGCCACGACGTAAACTATACATCGAACGCGCCGATAGCTTTGTTGCACGAGCGCCTCGGACACGTCAATCACGAAAATATGTGGACTGTCTGTGCAAAATAAAATAGAATTCTTCTGCGAGAAATTCCCGCTCGGAAAGCAACGTAGAGATTCGTTTGTTAAAAATGTGAAAATTGTATGTAAAACGCCCGGCGAAGTAATACACACTGACCTCTGCGGCCCAATGCAGACTCCGTCCGTCGGAGGTGCAAAGTTTTTTCTTCTCTTTAAAGACGAGGCCATAGGGTATCGTACAGTGTACTTCCTGCAGCATAAAAGCGATACATTCGAGGCACTGCAAAATTATATCGAGTTGTTAAAAAATCAATTTGGAAGCCATGCCAAGGTTCTTCGCGCAGATAACGGTACCGAGTACACTAATCGAAATGTCGCGATCTTCCTTGAAAAACGTGGTATTAAACTACTCACATCAGCTCCATATACGCCGGAGCAAAATGGCCATGCTGAGCGCGAGATGCGCACGATTGTCGAATCCGCGCGAACAATGCTCATAGCAAAGAATTTATCGACGCGTCTGTGTGCCGAAGCCGTAAATACGGCTGTTTACATTTTGAACAGAACGCTTGGAGCACGATCTAATACAGCTACGCCGTTCGAGCTGTGGTTCAAGAAAAAGCCCGATGTCGAACACTTTCGAATTTTTGGCTGTGATACATTGGCACACATCCCAGACATTTTCCAGAAATGGGATAAAAAATCCAAAAAACTGATTTTCGTCGGTTACGAAAAAGACTCCAAAAATTATCGCTTATTTGACTCGGAAACCGGGCGTGTTGTAGTGTCAAGACACGTTAAATTCCACGAGCAATCGCGCGACTGCACAGAAACGTCAACAATAGATATTTCTTTCGGTAACGACGATACACGAAACGACGACCCCTATGAACCCGAGAATATCGAGCCGCGTGAAGAGTCAAAACACGAATCCGACCTCGAAGATTTTGTTGACGCGCGCGATGGAGCTTTAATGCGAGATCTGCCGTCTCTGGCAAACGAAGCACAGAAGGCCGCCGATTCGCCTGCCCACAATTTACGTCCGCGAGACACTATGCACGCGCCAGAGCGATATCAGGCAAACATTACAGTTTATCATGAGCCGAAAAACTACCGAGAAGCCCTCACTTGTGCAGACGCCAAACTCTGGAAACACGCGATCGACGAGGAGATGCGCGAGCTTGAAAATAATAACGCATGGGATATTGTGAATGCACCGCTCAATCGAATCTTGGTAGGCTACAAATGGGTTTTTAAAATAAAAAACCAGAACGGCGACAAACCTCCCCTCTACAAAGCTCGTCTTTGCTCACAGGGCTTCACGCAAGAAGCTGGGATCGACTACCAAGAGACCTTCTCACCGGTAGTAAGGTACAAGTCCATACGCGTACTTCTTGCGATAGCGGTCCGCGACGACCTCAAATGTACGCAATTCGATGTAAGTTCCGCCTATTTAAATAGAAAATTCCAGATGGGCTTGCTCCAGTAAAACACAAATCAGCATTAAATCTTAACCAGGCATTATACGGCCTAAAGCAGTCCGGACGCTGCTGGAATCAAAAATTCAACGACTTTGTTTTGAATTTGGGATTTACTCGCAGCAAAGCCGACAAGTGCGTCTACACAGGCGTCTTAGATAATAATAAAGTTTATCTCGCGTTGTACGTCGACGACGGAATTGTTTTCTGTAAAAACGTCAATACATTGACAAAAGTTGTAAAAGCGCTTGAAGATAAGTTTCCTATACTTACTAGTGATCTGAACTACTTTGTCGGTATGGAAATAATTCGTGACAAGGGCAGTATTTTTGTAAAACGGGAACTCTACATCAATAAACTGTTACAGAGGTTTCGAATGGAAGATGCTAACCCCGTCAAAGCCCCTACCGACCCTGGTTCAAAATTAACCAAGCCAACCGGGCCCACCAACCTCCAAGTCCCGTATTGCGAAGCTGTTGGGTCGCTTCTATTCTTAGCCATAGTATCGCGTCCTGATATCGCGTAAGCTGTAGGCGTCGTGAGTAGATACCTTGACTGCCACAGCGACATGCACTGGGCCGCTGTGAAGCGAATTTCTCGCTATCTTAAAGGTACGCGCGATTATGGCATCTTAATCTGCCAGAACGCAGTATCGCTCGAACTCGTTGGTTTCTCGGACGCCGACTATGCTGCCGGTGCTGACACGCGAAGATCGACAAGCGGTTACGTTTGCATGATGAGTGATGGGTGTGTTGCATGGTCATCAAAACGACAATCAATTGTAAGCCTCAGTACCACTGAGGTGGAATTCATAGAGGCAGCAAAAGAAATAATATGGCTACGTAAATTAATGAATGATCTCGGGCATGGTTGTGTTGGGCCGACTACGCTTAATATCGACAATCAAAGTACAATTAAATTAACTAAAGACCAAGAATTTCATCGAAGGTCAAAACCAATTGATGTTCGTTTTCACTTTATCTGCGAAAGTGTTCAAAATAAAATTCTATCGACTAACTATGTAAATACTCACGAACAATACGCAGATATTTTCACAAAAGCATTGTCATACGAACAATTTAGCATTCTCCGCCATAAAATGAAAATTGTAAGTTACGATTCTATCGAAAAAACTCAAGCAGTGGGGGTGTTAAGATACCAAAAATAGTATCGTATGTGTGTGCTCTCGTATTTTCGTTATCGCCAACTTACCGACTGGCATGGTATATCGTGTGCGTGTGGTGGGGAAAAACGACTGCGGCTGAGTACAGCACTGCGCCGGAGCCTGTGAGGCTCTCACTTATATTTCTGTACGCTTACGAGCAAGGACCTACGTCCCATATTTATATTTTTTCACATATCATTAATAAATCAGTTTTATATTAAAGTGCCATCGTGTTCATTCACCGCTCCACTCGCTAAAAAAGATGTCAATTTTATGTTGAAAATGTAGATTAACATTAAACTGTTATTTACATCACAAAATGCCAAGAGGAATGAATTGGTGTGTGACTTCCCTTAATCATTTAGGTTAGATTTGTATTTGTTTCATTGAGTCTAACTACAGGTGTGTCGCCTTATTTATTGCCAAGTAAAATTAATTAAATAAAATACAGAATTTTTGATAAGTTTTTTGTTTTACTGTTCATAACCTTTTAACTTTAATTTTTATCTCAATTCCGATGCCAGATATCTAAAGGAGTATTAAATTTTACCTTTAAAATATGAATTGCATAATTTCTAAATAAATTCTAAAAAATACCTGTTATGTAAAATATTTTTTCATGTTACTCCATCCGAAAGTAACCTTTTTCGTCCCGGCGGTCAAAACTAAAAAGTTAATTTCTGCTGGGGGATTCATGAAAAATAGTATACGCACCTACGAAGCGAAAAAGAAAGCCTCAGAGCACATGTTTATCGGTCTCGGCTTCGCCTCGGACGATAATTACACGTGCTCTGAGGCTTTTCAGTTTTTCGCTCTCTAGGCACGTAATATACTATCTTTATACTTGTGCAGAACGCAATTAATTGATAGAAATTAATTCGTGTAACTCACCTGTGGTATTAAATTTTTTTTTTCTTGAGGCAAAAAATGTGAATAAGTTGAAGATTTAGGGGCAGATAAACTTGAAATATGTGGAAGCTTTAAGGCTGAAGTTACTTTTAAAGCTGTCTCTATTTCTTCAGGCTCATCAGGTCCAATAAATCCTAAAAAATATATTTTTAATATTGATTCATTGCAGTTATCATTATTTAATTTGAACAAAGAATAGTTTTGTAAATAAGAATTGACATTTGTTGCTTCTGTTATGAGAAAACTGTATGCTAAGCTCAAAAATAAGTTTTTCAGTATGCCATGTTGGGTAATTTATTTAACATATTTGTGTAACTTGATTCTTAATAAATGTAAGATCGTATGTAAGCGGGTTTGGAAGTGTGTACATATGTTCCAATCAATAGAGTGATTTTGAGGATGAGTTAGTGGTTTTCAGACTATCTTTTCTGTCGTAGATGTAACTTTGTCCCATTCCGATAATTTTTAAGTAATGTAACAGTTCCCGTGTCCGTCAAAGCAAATAATTGTTTTCAAACATTTTTATTTTTAATGTTACTATCTGTGCAATTTGGACAATAAGTTCATGTTTTCTTTCTTTAAACAATTAACGATAACAGCATGAAGATGTAATAACGACCTACAGTGACAACCCAATGGTTGTACTAGTAGGGGAGATAGTAGGGACACACCGTACAGTTTCGACGATGATTCAAACCTCAATCTGCTTGCTTCTTGACAATCAATATTTTTTCTTGTTTGGAGTCCTCGTGCTAGGTTATTAGGGTGGAATGGTAGTCTAAGATCATAACATTTATAGAATTTTTTATACATCCTAACGCCTTCCGGGTTTATAATAAGGGTTAAAAAATGAAACGGCAGTAAAGGATGTGCCAAGGTAAAATTTTCAATTAAACCAAAAAAATACATGAAAGTGAGTATGGCTCACTTTCCATGCCTGAGTCAACCTTTCGCCGACCACTTTGCCAGATTTTCCGAAATTTTCCGCTTTACCCGGGAAAATCTCTGGGAAAACTTTAAAGTAGATTATCTCAAAAACTTCATTTTTAAGATTTTTTTAAATAGTCTAGATCGAAAGATCAGGAAATTTTCCATCGATATAGACCTTTTCCAAAGAGGCGTTTTTTGATTTTAGCGAGATGCAGCGAGAGAAAGAAGAAAAAACGTGGTTTTTTCGCGAGCGCGGGCGGTCGGACGCCCCCAACCGAACAAAAAACCACGTTTTTTCTTCTTTCTCTCGCTGCATCTCGCTAAAATCAAAAAACGCCTCTCTGGAAAAGGTCTATATCGATGGAAAATTTCCTGATCTTTCGATCTAGACAATTAAAAAAAATCTTAAAAATGAAGTTTTTGAGATAATCTACTTTAAAGTTTTCCCAGAGATTTTCCTGGGTAAAGCGGAAAATTTTGGAAAATCTGACCTCACCATCGGAAAGCTGAGGCGATTTCCCAAATCATCGAAATCATGGGCTCGTTTTTTCTCTAGGTGCATTTTAGTACTTTTACAGAGATTCACAAATTTAGTGATTTGACTTGATTCTGCCGCGCCGCGCGGCACTGGGAGAGTTGACGTGAAATGCCACATATACACCTTTGGATTTGTCATAAAAAATCCTAAATTTTGGCAGTATCAAAAAATTTTCTAAATTTTTTCTGTTCATTTACTGCGCCCTCGAAAATGAACTTTTTGAAGTTTATGAAAAAAAATATCGAAAAAAGGCATTTTTTTCAATGCTATCTCAGTTTTAGGTCAAAACTAACTATGGAATTCGATTCTACGAAAAAAATTACTCAAGAAAACGTTTAGTATGTATAGATTTTACCCTCAGAGCACAGTAGGCAATCTATAATCTTATTTAGCGAAGCTATCCAATTTTTGCACCACGTTTTTTAACTTAAAAATGCTATCGACAGCTAATCAGAACATCTAGCGACATCAGGTAGAAGGCAAACTTCATGTATTTAGTTTAACTAACAGATTCTGCCAGTGCTCATAATATTACAAAAAAATTTTCAAATTGAACCGGTCTAGTGGACATGTGTTTTTACATAGGATAAAGGTGATGTTAGTTGATTTCTCTTCATTAATTTTTATTCTCCATTTTTTAAACTAATACTTGGCCAGATTCATGCAGCTTTTCATCGTTTAAGAGACTGCATAATGATCTTTATTGGAGTGCATGAGGGCTGCTTCATCCGCACGGGTAGCTATGGTGATAATCTGCATCACTGGGAAGTCTGCTGTGTACAGTAAATATAATTTAGGTCTAAGGATACTACGTTGAGGCACCCTAGTCTAGTCTTGATTGGGCAAAACGAAGAGTAGTGACTGTCATATTCCACTCTCAATGTTCTATCTTGTAAATATGTTGTTAAGGGCTCTGTTATATTCCAATGACCCAGCGTTGGGTATAGTAAAATTTAAATATAATAATTAAAACAAGACCGTCAAATCAACACGTATGACGCCTGATCTCGCGGGTAAAGAGGCATGTGTGTAAGATGAACACAGAGACAGGCAAGCGCTGTCGCATGAATGTGTGTGTGTGTAAGCGGCCAACACACATCGGCGCATTAGATCGAACCCGCGCGCATATGTGTATCAGCCGAACACAGAGCAAGGCAAAGGCTGAAGGTATGTACGGACGTGCGCGAGCAACATTACCGACGCATTAGATCAAGTCCCCGCACGCGTATATATTCCGTGTGTGTGTACTCGCGTGTGTGTGTAAGTCGAACACAAAGAAGGCATAACACACACATGCGAGACGAGACTCGTGGAATGATTCGAATTGGTACAAAGGGGCGAAGCAAGTTCGCACGCGCACTCGCAAGTCCCATATCTCCCCCAAGTTTGACCTTTGACCTCAGATAACCATTGGGCACATCCTGGTCTAGCGGAAACTGAGTCAACAAGTGACGAAATAGCTGGTAGATTTGCGACTTGTGGAAAAAACCCAAGACGTACCCCCTCCAAAAGGTCCATGATTTAATTAGTATATAACGTGCATAAAAATTAGGCCTCGGGGCAGATCATTTTATACTGTCGAGCAGGGCGAAGCTCTGGGCAGATCATTTTATACTGTCGAGCAGGGCGAAGCTCTGGGCAGATCATCTTAGAGAGTCGAGTAAGGCGAAGCTCTGTGCGCGCGAATAATCAAATCATTATAATAGCGACTTTGCAATATTTAACGGACTTGTAATACAACGCGAATTGCACATATTGTACTTAGTGAGAACCAAGCGCGAGTCAATAACAGCGACTAACTTGTACTTGTACTTATACGCCGCGACCGTCGAAATTATTAATTGTATTCGCGAACGATAAAGCTCGAGTGAGTGCTTCACCCAGCCTAGCAGCGCAACAGCCCAACAGCAGCCACGACCGTCACTGCAACAGCCACCGCCACCACCGAGGCAGCCGCGACCGGCGGCCAAGCAGCATCAGCGCAGCGCACCAGCAACAGCGACAACCGTAGCGTCCCGACGGCGTTTGCAGCCCTACAGATCGACGAGCATCGGCCACACTTATTTTGTAAGCTTGTTTAATAGTAATTAGTTTCTTGTAATAAAGTCTTGTGTGTAAATCTCACTTGAGCGTTATACACTTTATTTCATGTTCCCTCCCCACTCAGACACAACAGAAAATAATATTTAATATTCAAATAATAAAGTTATTACCCGGTGTCAAAGGGTATATAACAGCTCATAGGGGGCTTGAATAATTTTATATTTCTATTTATAGTATTAAGCTGAAATGGTAGAAAAATTTTTTTTAGAAAACAGGCATAAGAAACTTTTCCAATACTCCATTTGAAAGTACTTTGTCCAGTTAGATACTTATAAACAGTTAAATACACTTGTATGAGTCTATAAACCTTCAGCCATAAGCATTTGCCACCTCTGAGCTGCCTGTCATAGGTTTCCAAGTGTTCAAATGATACAATTGAGTTGTATGTTGTTTCATTTTGTTCAATCGACCATTGTCCATCAACGGAACCTCAAGCTTAGCGTAATATTAACTTTGACAACTTTCACATACAATTTAATAGAATATTTTATTAAAAATGATCATTTCACACGATTCGTGAAATGAAGAACAGGCATCGATTATGCGTTTTCGGAGAAATTCGTAAGCACACACCGGGCCAGCAGCCCGCGCACAAGTCAACTGCGTATTACGCTATTGACTTAGGTGAAGAGCAAGCCATGAGATTCCTGGAAGCTGCAATCAGCGAGGAAATTCCCGATCATCGGCCCCCGCACGAATCAATAGAGGGTAGATAAGAAATTCGGTTATATACGGCCCGAAAAAGGAGGGCATCAGCTAGTTCAGTTCGAGACCTCCAACACGGCGGAGCTACGCCGGGACTAGTCGAGTATAGTTGACCGGTTAAAGTGAAAAGTGAAGTGTATCGTAAGCCACTAACAGCAGTCAGCTAGCAAGCCAGCAACACCGCCAGCAGCCAGCAGCTAGCAGCCAGCAGCAATAATTGTAAGAGTAGATCAATAAAAAAAGTCTTGTGTAATCGAAGTATGTTGCACACATTTATTCCTCTCCTACACCCTGCCCTCTTGTACTCATGACAAGCGAAGATGAATGCAAGAAATAATAGCGATAAATAAACAAATAATTAATAAATGTTGGGCAAACGAGCCATAACATTATGACACGAGGGTAAGTCGTTCCTTGAATGGAAAGGGGAGTTATCAGAATAAAAGAATACAAGAATTTATCAGTTAATTGCAGGAGATCGAAAAAAGGTTAGTCACAAATTCATAGATAAAAAGTAAAAATGAACTACAATAATTTTTTCAACTATATAATCTATAGAATACTTCAATTAGAAAACTTACCCAAAAAATTAGGAATACTCAAACAATTTATATTCACCCATTCTAAAGTATCGAAAACAGCTTTTAAAGTACGATCATTATCACCACAAGAATCGTACAAAATGATTGCTGCAATTGAAAATTTTAAGTTAGTTTAAATCATTACAAATCGTTTATTTCTAAACATCAGTTAAAATTACGTAGGTTATTTAAAGCTAGAAAAATTGTTATTCCCTCTTCCTGAGCCATGAAAAAACTTTTCTCTTAGCCACTATTGTCAGTCGTACCACTATCAATTGAATTTCTAAAAGTTGATTTTATTATGGGTCTTCAATTTTGTTTTTACATAATAAGAGATTGTATTTTTTAAATATTGTTCCTTTTTGTTATAGTTATAACTGCATAATGGCATAACTCTGGCTCTAATTGGTTTGCTTATTTGAATTTGGATAGTGAGCCGATAGAGCTGGTGTGCCGAACTTTTCTACAAGTGTTCAGGACATGGAAAAGTACAAGTCCAAGCGCTTTCAAGGTGCTTGGACTTGATTTAATGAGTATTAAGTCATCAGGTGATGATAAAGGGAGATCATCAAATCAAATCAAATCATCAAAATCAAAATCAAATCAAATCAAATCAAATCAAATCATCAAAATCATCAAATCAAATCAAATCATTACAAATCGTTTATTTCTAAACATCAGTTAAAATTACGTAGGTTATTTAAAGCTAGAAAAATTGTTCTTTCAACACTGGTACGTCGATATATTTTTGGGTCAAAGGTGGTCATAAGTTTTTGGCAACTTCAACATTTTGAATAAATCGAAAATAATTCATTTAAAAGAAAATGCCAGGTAACTTTTTCTCGTAAGAATAATCAAATTAACTTGAATTAAGTGTTACCAGGATAAAACATAAATTTTGACTATTTTGAAAAAATAGTAAGAAGCATTAGTATGGAAAAACAGAAAAAAAATTGAAAAAAGCGAAGAAAATGTGATTTTAAATCAGTTGACACTAAAATGGACTCTAAAACGAACCTGATTCCAGATAACCATATTTTAAACGTTTTCCCATGAGACAAGGGTTTTCATATTCGTGGTTTTCGTATTTACGGTACTTTTTGAGTAAGCATTAGCCCATTAATGCGTAAAAGTGCAATTTTGTGCATGAATTTTCTATTGTAAAAAAATTATAAATAAAGTTAAAATCTTATCTTGAAAATCTATATCTACAGGTTTTTGGGTATGCTCTTTCAGAATCCGGCGTTATTTTTGCGATAAATAAAAATTATCATCGTTAATTTGGCGAATAAGAATAAAAAACGTGATTTTTTGATTTTAATTTTTTTTTTCAAAGTCGATTTTCTACCTTGCCATGCCTTCTGAGGGTTTCCATAACCCCAGCAATCGTCCACTTCTTCTCTGAACCTTCAAGAAACGCGTTGCTGCGATTTCTATCTAGTCCCTATATTTTGAATTGATTTTTTAAGATTGATTTTCTGTAAACAGGTGCGTTTAAAAGTTATAAACAATTTAAATGTTTAAGCCACCATATCTTGCAAACTATTGAAGATAGATTAAAATAATTGTTCATTCTTTTATTTTTCTTTAAAAACAAAGTGATCGACGTATATAACTAAAAAATCCGTTCACTAGAAAAAAGTTAACAGGTAATTAATACAAAATTAATAGGGATACCTCCTATTTTTATCTGTCAACGTCTGTAACTTGGGTCTTATTAGTGCGATCGAGCTCATCGATATCTTTTTTTTTAAGGTTATAATCTAAATAACTTTGTACTATATGAATTTTTATGTCAGTAAAATTGTTTATAGTGCAATTGAGAGCCGTTTTTAAACATGTTTTCATGACTGTGATGTACATTCCATCTGCTGATAAGCGTTTTTCATTAAAATAAAGTATTAAAAGAACTAAACAACACAGTGCACATGAAAGCACATTGCAAGACAAAAATTTCAAAAAAATTTTAAGGTAATTTTTCAAGTAGACGCCAAGTTACAGTCTTCTGGGCTTGGGCATAGAAACGAGCGAGCGTAGAAAATTAGGGCACAAGCCGAGGTAACGTTAACTTCCCGCTCGTATCACCACAAAATTAATATTTAAATTGCTAATATTATGTAAACTTATTATATAAAGATTTTATAGAAAAAAGTATATTTATTTTTAATTTTGACAAGTGTTATTTACGTTGCATGAGCAAAAACTTACGCATTTCAGTCCCGTTTATATGCATTTAATATGGGTTGATGAATAATTTTTAAAAAGTTCACAAACGAAAATATCACGTGATATTTTGGCGTGATTTCTCTTGTGATTTCTCGTGTGATTTTTTCACGTGATGATTTTTAGCAGGGTGTTCCTAGATTCCTATTTTATTTTCAGCATATTGCAACGGGGTAATATTTTTACAGTCTAAAACCTTTAGAAATATCCTAAACTTTCATACGCTTTTTGGGTATCTATTTAAATCTTAAGGAATTCGATATTAGCCTAAGCAATTTCAGCTTTTACCTAATTTCAGATTTTTTCAAAATTAGGCTTTTGCCAGTATCATACATAAGTGGCATTTCACGTCAACTCTCCCACTGCCGCGCGGCGCGGCAGAATTAAGTCAAATCACTAAATTTGTGAATCGCCGTTAAAGTACTAAAATGTACCTAGAGAAAAAACAAACCCATGATTTCGATAGGAAATCGCCTTAGCTTTCCGATGGTGAGGTCAGATTTTCCGGAATTTTCCGCTTTACCCGGGAAAATCGCTGGGAAAACTTTAAAGTCGATTATCTCGAAAACTTCATTTTTAAGATTTTTTTAAATAGTCTAGATCGAAAGATCAGGAAATTTCCCATCGATGTAGACCTTTTCCAGAGAGGCGTTTTTTGATTTTAGCGAGATATAGCGAGAGAAAGAAGAAAAAACGTGGTTTTTTCGCGCGCGCGGGCGGTCGGACGCCACCAACCGAACAAAAAACCACGTTTTTTCTTCTTTCTCTCGCTATATCTCGCTAAAATCAAAAAACGCCTCTTTGGAAAAGGTCTATATCGATGGGAAATTTCCTGATCTTTCGATCTAGACTATTTAAAAAAATCTTAAAAATGAAGTTTTCGAGATAATCGACTTTAAAGTTTTCCCAGCGATTTTCCCGGGTAAAGCGGAAAATTTCGGAAAATCTGACCTCACTATCGGAAAGCTAAGGCGATTTCCCATCGAAACCATGGGTTCGTTTTTTTCTTTAGGTGTATTTTAGTACTTTTACAGCGATTCACAAATTTAGTGATTTGGCTTAATTCTGCCGCGCCGCACGGCACTGGGAGAGTTGACGTGAAATGCCACATAAGCCCTTTTCATGTCCTAATCCTGGGATAAGTTTTGAAATAGGTTTTTAGATAATTTTATTTCTTAGTTTATGTAATCATTTATTACAAACTAGCGACCCCGTCGCGGCTTCGCCCACGTTCAAATTTTTCAACAAATTCGACTGATTAAAAGATCTTAAACAGGCCACGTCAAGTGCGTAGTAGGAAATGTATAAGTCGAGTCCACACACTTGTAGAACTCGAATAGCGTAATAACACATGTACACATCAAATACAATGTATGCCGATTGACCGCATGTAAAAACAACTGCTTACGGTCTTTTTTATAACAATTGACCAGGGAGCGAGCGAGCACGCAAAGTGGTAAAATACGAAAAAAATTCTGAACTCAAAAATAAATAAGCAAATAATGGTTTTAATATGATAGAAACCTGCACAGTGGTACAATGAATACGTGGTAAAAATTTCAAGCCGATTGGACAAATAGTTTTTGAGATCATAAAGGACAAACAGACACCAACTTCGCTTTATATATATAGATTCATAACAAAGGTATAATTTATAAAAAAACGATATAAAAGTAACTGGTATTTTATACTTACAACTCTTTTTATTGTTAATCATAAAAGAATATCTAGCTAGTGAAAAATTTGATAAACTGTTTGGACTAACTCCTTTGTGTAATTGACATGATTCATCATTAAAATTTTTGATCACTGAAATTCCAATTACGTCATGACAATTTTTTTCAGCTTGGCATGTATAAAAACACAAACTTAAACTCAATAATAACCATGAAAAATGTTGCATTGTTATTATATTACGAGTATTATTCTCTAAAAATTGAATCATAAGCAACTGAAAAGAAACATTATCGTATTGAGATTAATAAATCATGTGTTTCCCCCAAAAAAGAGAATATTTATTGTTAAAATCTGATAATGAAATTTGAATTGTATCATTTTTAGCTACCATAATTCATAAGAGGGAAACTGTAAACCAAATAATATAACACAAAAGCAGCCGCACAAAAACACGTGTTATAAGTGCACTAGCTGAACCCATACTTTGATCACTAGATCTTCGAGGGAGTATTAGTAGCTTCGGTATTTGAGCACGTCTTTGCCACACACGAGGTAGAGCATACGCTCGACTGTACAAGGTGTCTTTATACATCCAAAAAAGGGATTTTCTGGCCTTAAAGTTAAAGTTTTCTCAGTTTTGCTTTGCCTCTCAAGGCGCTGTCTTGTTTACCTGTGACTGTTGTGCCTGTGCTAAGAGGATTATTTGTTTAGGTTATTGTGTCTGAACTTTGAAACCATAATCCGATTAAGTGTTGTCGCCTGTGATGTGTCGTTGACTCCGACGGCTCAAATTTTATAACTCTGTCTTCTTTGCGGGATCTCCACCGCATTTTAAAAATTTTTTTTATGTTTTTGAGGTATCTATAAATATTATTCTATTACTTCACTTTACTGGGTTGCAAATACTAGTGCTAATAAGAGGTAGCCACCGCCCACACTTAGACTGGAATAGGTAAAACGACATCGATGATGCACTGCTATGTGCTGATATATTTGTGAAGATCAGAGATTTTTCGGAACAAGTGGACAGAAGACCGGAGATAGCAGCGTACAAAACATCGCATCAGTAAAATTGCACCTATTTACGCTGATAAGAACCCGTGGCTGTTACGCATTTAGCCCAAGCGGACATCACGTGTTTATTCGAGGAAATTGCAATCAGTTACAGGTATTTCCAATCTCTGGCCCACGCCTCGTACGAGGGTCACTCCACAAAGACACCACCCAGTTGAAAAAAAATTGCGTGGATATCCACGTGGATTATCCACGCTGATTCCACGTGGATCATACAGGGATTCCTTGAGGATGGGAAATTGATTCCACGTGGATCGAACATGGATCATATAAAGAGTCCACGTACGTAAACCACGGGGATTTGCACGGAAATCCTCGTTGATTTTCGATCGATCCACGGGGATTTTCGCGGAAATCCTCGTTGATTTTCGATCGATCCACGGGGATTTTCGCGCAAATCCTCATTGATTTTCGATCAGTCCACGGGGATTCTCGATCGATCCACGGGGATTTTCGCCGCAAATCCTCGCGGATATTTCGAGCGCGTGCCCGCGAACAAGTTCCACATCCACAAGGATTGAAAAAAAAATCAGCGTGGATCAGTCGAAAAACCGTGGTGATTCGCCGCAGATCCTCGCGGATGTTTCGAGCGCGTGCTCGCGAACAAGTTCCACATTCACGAGGATTGAAAAAAAATCCGCGTGGATCAGTAGAATATCCGTGGTGATTGCATTTTTTTCAGCCCATGATCGATCCACGAGGAATCCCTGTACGATCCACATGGAATCCCTGTATGGTCCACGAGGATTACTAATCCTCGTGGATTTCCACGTGGATATCCATGCAATTTTTTTCAACTGGGCAGCGATAAGGATTCGACATATATACCGGCCAAAAATTGGACTAGAGGGAGACCGATTTTGAACTTTGAGTATGGCAGAGCTACGTCTTTTTCGTAGAGAGTAGTCGCAGACGAGGACGAATAAAATCCATTATGAGACTTTATGCACGGTGGAGCTACACTGGCTTAGTAGAGTCAGTGTAAAGTAACAAGTTGAAATTGCAGTGAGTCAACGATCATCTAAATTTATCGCCAGCGAGACTTCCAAAATTGACAATGCAGCAGTTCAGCAACAGCATGGCTACATCAAGATTCACGCACCGAGAATAACAAGGTTGAATTTGTTATATTAAGCATCGCAACAAAATTGTAATATTTTGTGATTCTCTGGAATTCATTATTATAGTAAAATTTGTCGTATGTGAAAATGCTGAGTTTAATTCTTTCTCTCTCTTAACCTGCTCTCTTGCACTCGTGCTCGCCTGACAAGCGAAGATGCGCGCAAAAATAAGTAATAGCGATAAATTAAATTAATTAATAAATGTTTGGCTAAAATGTCATAACACAAATAAGGAGAAAGAATAAGTAATACAAAATATACATTTTGGTTTTCACAAAAAAACTTTTGTTTATTGAAAAATATTGAAATAGTTCAAGTATGATCAACTAGTTACATATAAATCTGATTGCATAAAATGATGAGTTAAACTGTTATTTGACAGTTTCGTGTTAAAAGTCATACCTAGGTGTATTGGCCGAATTACCGGAGCGTATCAAATTTAGCAAAAGTATCGGCCATGTCAGGTTACGTAATATGCCTTACGCATCGGACCTTTGAAAAGTTCTACCTGAAGAATCTTTCTTATTCTAAGACTTCTATAAAGATGAGGAAAATTGAACTCATGACAGAATAATTATCTACTCTAATTTAAGTCTCTCTCATTTAAGTCATTTATTCAGAGGCGATATTTGGTTTATCGACGGTACGTTCAAGAGTGCTCTTGCTACGTTTTATTGAAGTAAAACTTCTTTAGTCGTGTTAGGTATGAGGGGTAAAGCAGTGAAAACCGAGCGTTCAGGCGAGCGGAGACTGGCCCGATAATAGTAGGAATATAGATTGTATATAGACAGGGTACTTTTGCGCCGTCCGCGCTAGCAGCTTCTGGCTAACTGCATCGGTTCCCGAGTTTTAGGCGCGCATCTACTACTACGCCCTCAGCGCTCATGTCTACGTAACATCTACGCAGCGACGTGTAACTGTCTTTCTCTGACAGAGTTGTCAATCTGGGCCTGGTGATGACCCCTTCACTCTCATGGGATGCTCACATCAAAGGCATTTCCTCTCGCATTCATGGAGTGCTTCATCGACTGCGAGCCGGGGCTGGCTTTTTGCCCGTCAACATCAAAAAGATGCTTGTTAACGCCTTCATCATACCTCATCTTGACTACGCTTGCCTCGCCTTCATTGACATCTCTGCCTTACTGGACATGAAATTCAGACGACTATTAAACGCGTGTATACGTTACATCTTCCAGCTCCCTAGAAACGCTGCGCTTCGGCCGTACTACGCCAGGCTCGATTAGCTGTTACCATCACAGAGACGCGACTATTTCTTGAACATTCAAATGTTCAAGGCGCTCAATGGATCATGCCCAGAATATATTTCGAACCTTTATCACTGGACGGGCGTTGAGGTCCGCAGATCTGCAAGAATCGCGGGCGGAGCACCGACGATAGTGGTTCCGTTTGCGGATTCCTCCACCTTGGAGTCGGGATTCTTGATAAGAGCGGCCAACTCATGCTGCAGACAAAAGAACCCTGCTGAAAAAAATCATAAGAAAAATCATATAATGTTTTGGCATGATTAATCATATGATTTTCCCAGCAAGGGAAGTAAACCCATATTTTAATATAAAATCTATTGAAGAGGAAGTGCCAAAATATAATTTAAAGTCTGAATTTATTAATGTCATTGAAAATGAAGAAACTACTTTTGAAAATAGCTTAAAAAATGTACATTTAGAGCACAACAATTTTAATAATTTAAAAGAGTTTGAAGTGAATTATAAAAGTAGTAGGCATGAAAATTCAGATAACTAAGCTATCTTATCATCAAGAAAATATCGATGCTAATCTTTTACAAAACGGTACAAATTCAGGCAGTTTGATGATTCAATAGTTCGGCAGTTTTATAATTCACCTCCAATTGTTAAATGATTCAAATTTTTGTGCTCTAAATGTACATTTTTTTAGCTATTTTCAAAAGTAGTTTCTTCATTTTCAATGACATTAATAAATTCAGACTTTAAATTATATTTTGGCACTTACTTTTCAATAGATTTCATATTAAAATAAGGGTTTGCTTCCCTTGCTGGGAAAAATCATATGATAAATCATATAAAAAATCATATGATTAATCATGCCAAAACATCATATGTTTTTCCCATGATTTTTTTCAGCAGGGAATGCTCAATAACTTTTACATGTTTTATGCTTATCAATTACAATTTTTCATACTTATTGCAATTAATTGTATCGATACTTGTATATACTCCTAGTTAATGTGTTTTTAATGTGACACTAAATAACTGCGTCTTAATATTTGTTAATCTGGCTTAATTTTTGCATCTTTTTGTACAACTTAGCCTATTATCTGCTTATTTTATTTGTAAATATGTATGATTGTAACTTTTACTGCTAATTGCAATTCGGTCTTTTGGCCTCGATGAATAAACTGTTCAAATCAAAATCTCGCACACGCTCTTGCCTTCATTCATTAATGAGCTTCATGCGTCATGATGCCCTGAATCGCTCCGTCGATCGTGGCTGGAACTAAAGATTCGATGGGCTGCCACGCGTTTTTTGTGCATACCTACAAGTTATGGAATAATCTGCCGCAGGGCTTGCAGGCTCGGTTTCGCAGCAATGACTTTGGGACGTACCTTTTTACCCACATGCTTGGATGACCTATGTTTGACTACCATCGTAGAGTTTTTTTATCTCCCTTTATATTTATTTTTATTTTATTTTCTTGGCACGAGTTTTTTGTTTACATATATGAGTAAATCTTGTGAAATTTTGATATTTTGCCATTAAAAAAATTGTTTTTTTCAAGGCACACTCGTGAAATTTTTTTTAGGAACTTACAAATGATTCAGAAAATTGGAAAAAAATAGTGTATCAAATTCGGGTGAGGGCCTTCGATGATTTGAAAAAGAACATGTTAAAGCTGAAGCTGATGAACCATATTTTTAAGACAATATTTGCTTCTAAATTTGGTTAAAATTTTGATTATTTGACATTAAAACAAAGCACATAGTGTCATATTTTCAAAAATGTCGAAAACCAAATACGGCAATATGAATTGTGCCATTTAAAGTAAAATTGTTGATGTGCAACGCAAAATTTGATTAAAAGGCCTTCAAAATCAATAATGGGCGCGAGCAAAACTTATGGGTATTTAGAGGAGAATCTGATACCATAAATACACTCTATTACCTAAAAGATGTCTCGTATTTTTTAGTTAAATTAAAAAAATTCATTTGCCGAATAACAAATCTAGATTATTTGGAAGTAAGGAAAGATGGTAATAATTTAAAAGTGAGTATTGATCATTTAATAATTGAAACCACAAACACTTTCAAAACACAGAATAACAACACTTTTTTTTTTTTTTTTTTAATGTGGATATGGCAACCAGGCCAGCCCCTTTAGAAGTCCCTAAGTCGGGCCAACTTTCTTGGCCTATTAGCCCCACAACTGCCTCGCATTCGCCCAGGTCACGGGACCTGAGGGGCAAGGAAAAACCTTGTACCAGTGTACGGTGTACCAGTGGATTCGCACTGGAGGTACACCTGTAGGGAAAAACCCGCCCCGAGACAGCGGAGCCTGTAGGTACTCTTCCCGCCGAATACCTTTTTCGAAAAGGTCCGAAAATGTACTAGCCAGGAATCGAACCTACGACCCCTTGAGCGGTGATGTTTCCGAGACTAGCACGCTACCCACTAACCCATCGACCGCTCAACAACACTTAAGGGGAGGCTCTCATCTAGCGCCTCAAAAATGACGTGTTTTTCGTGATTTTTTTTTTCGTGGAAGGAAGTGAATAATGCAGTCAAGTTTTTTGGTACTTATAAAGTATGTATTTAACTACAATTACAAATTTTTTCAGACCAAAATATCGAATTATTTATCGCCTAGCAGCGTTTGATGGAGGTCGTGTTAAAAGAAGGTACCTCAACGGGCGGCAAGCTAGCACCTTCAGTTTTTGCCCGAAACTAAAAATGCGAAATTCCTCTTAAACTAGATGACATTTGCTGGAGGTTGAACCTAAATAATTGCAAAAAAATTAAAAATTGATAAAATGGCGGACTTCGGAAAAAAAATTTTTTTTTTTGCCCTTTTTTGGCTCTTTTAAGGGCTGTAAAAAGTAATAATAATGAAAAAATTTAAAATTTTATAGGTTCAACCTCCAGACAATTTAATTAGCTTTAATATAAAAAAAAAGTGTACCTTTAAGTGCAGTACTTTTCGAGATATCTTGCCGCCCGATTCTGAAAACATGGTTTCGAGAAAAACGCGTTTAAAGTTTTAGAAAGTGAATGTACATACATACATACATCGTTCCCTCGTAAAAAGACAGTTTCGGTTTTTTGCCTATAACTATTTAACTAAATCGATTTTGGTAAAAAGGGTTTCGGGGGTGTATTCTACGAGACATTTGCTAACTAAGTAAGCAAAAAAAAAAAATCGATTTTTTTATCGAGTCTCATGAGAGCCTCCCCTTAAACTACTAGATATATGGTATCAGATTCTCCTCTAAAAACCCATCTACTCAATTGTATAAACAATTGATTCGGATTAACACAAAAAGTAATTTAAGGGAAGTTATACGTACACATACATGTACTTAATGAAAGCGCTGGTCAGGGTACACCGAGCAGTTCACAGTTTAAAAAGGAATCAGCACGTATATAATTAAAAAGTGCTTAATTTTGAAATTTTCTGAACACGTAGTTGATTGATTAACAGTTTTAATTAAGGTTTACTCAACGTTGTTATAACGTTGATACATCGTTTAGAAGATTTTAGGAAGCGGACATTTAAACGTTTACACGACGTTGCTTCAACAATTATTCAACCCTTCTCTTAAACGTTTAAAGGTTGTGATTAGATTTCCGCCGCTAGGTGGCGTCTGCCTGACCCACCGCAGTACCCGCATGAGAGCAAGTAAGGCCGCGAGATTATAAGCGACCGCGCTCTCGCTGTAGATCATACGATCAACTGATCGAACGGGATAACTCGCTTGCGAGTTGTTCTGCTTGACGAGTGAGTCGTGGTAGCGAAGTGTTCGCACTTCGAGTCGCCGCGCAACTCGGAGTTGGCTTGGTGGGAGAACTCACTGAGTTTTCGGCGCGCCGAGTCATCTCCTTGAGTTGAATGGTGCGCAGGCTTAGCCTGTGGTCGCCGTTACTACAACTCGTCGAGCAGTAGCAGCGCGTGAGCGAGCTTATCACTCGAGAGCTTGAGAGCTTGCAAGCTCAAGACAGTTTCTCAATATATATATATTATAATAATATATATATTAAAATAATATAATAGAATTATATTATTTTAAATATACCGTTATACTTTTGATTTACCGATTCCTACCCACAACACAAGCAGGTTTATTTTTACTTACACAGAGAGGTTTATGTTTTTGACTCTTAATGCAAAAAACAGGTTGTAAATTAAACGTTTAAAAAACGTTTAGACAACGTTGAATGTTAATAGAGACAAAGGTCGCCCCGCATACAAAGGATCGGGTCAGTAAGCAGCTGCAGCCTGGTATTCCCTGTACCGTATTTCCACAGTCCAAGCGACCTGAGGCGATGGGCTGCGTTTACAGCTCCTGCTTGGACCTCGACATGAATTGGTGGTATATGCATGATCATCCCCGCGCTTTTGTTGGAGTGGTCCTCATGACCCCTGTATCCCTCTTAGCATGATGCCCTGACTAGTCTCTAACTAGTCCCTTAGCCCTGTCAGTTTTTAACGCCAAAGTGTTATTCTTGCAGCTTATTTCAGCTTTAAAAATTGCGTCAAATCGAAGTACAAACAGGAGACTAAAATGTGATCTCGAAGAAGAGATATAATACACAATACGAGTTCATATAATAGTTATGCACTAATTTGATGTTGTTGGGGCCCAAAAGAACTATTAGATTATTTTGATTATTTTATTGTTTTATTACTGGGAACAGGGGGTACAGCCTCATGTGGCCCTGAATAAGAGTTTCGACCCAGTCAATTAAAGTAAAGTAGTACGACTGTAGAGTTAGATACTTGAACCTCGAAAATTTGAGATCGATTAGTCACTTCCTTCACTGTTTACAATTGTGACTACAGTTTCACGACGTACATTGCGCTGAGAAGGAAGCAAATAATCGATCTCAATTTTCGAGGTTCAAGTATCTAACTCCGCGGGTGTACGAGTAATTTCAAGTTTTTCTTGAAACCTATGTTATGGAAAGTTGTGTTTTTGCTCAAATTTGCACGTTTATCAAAATATTTTATGAGAACCCATTGACCTACAATAAAAAAAAGGTCAATAGTGTCTGTTTTCTGACTGTTGAGTGTGTAACATTCGTTTGGTGAAATAGGGCCATGATACTGTCAAATTTCCCGTTTCTCTTAAACAAAATGGTCGATATATTTTTATAGAGTTTTTCTACAATAATCTTAAAATTATTAAAAACCTAATTGTATATTTATAAAAATAAGTAACCTTGTCTAGCACACAATGACTTCTTGAAAATTTACATTTTTGTAACATAAAATTATTCAAAAAGATCTAATCGAGACATATATGTCATACACTATAATAGTTTAGATATAAATAATTTTAATTTTTTTAGTAATAATGAAGAAGAGTGATAATAGTAATTGAAATGAAAATGATCGTAGTGGTAAATAAGTAGTGATTATGCATAACAAATTTTTTTAATCAAAATAAAATTATGAAATTTTTTTGGTAAAGATGAGTTTTGATATCAGTTTTTCAAAATTGTTGTCATAATATAATTTGAGTATATTTTAGGTACTAGAAAATATTGTGTTCTCGAAGATTATTAAATCTTTGTTAATACTGAATTAACATTATAGCAAGAATTGTATTAAATATTTCTGTAATTTCAAAATAGAATAGCATCGTTGCTGTAATTTTTTATGTTAATTTCGTAATTTATAGAGAATAAATGATTAAGATTAATATGAGATACGATTCAAAACATTAAACAGATACTTTGCATTTTAAAGATGAATAAAATTATCACTTAATAGTTCTAATTTTAGAAAGTAAGTAAGATTGTATAAAACAAATTGTCCTCAAAATTTCATGGTCGAGTCATCAATTATTATGATATTACTAATACTTGTTATTTTAAGAATCTTTGAATTGAAAATAATAAAAAGTATATGAAAAAATAAACAGATAATAACATTTTTTCGTAATTTTTTTACCTTCAAAATGAAATCATCCTTATTTTTACGCCTTCTTAAAAAATCGTCTCTTATTTTAATAATAAAATATCATATTATCTAAATATAACTTTTGTAAATTGCGGAGAAAAAAATATGAATGAGAAGCAAGAATATCTTATGTTCTTGATGACATAGTTTTAAACTTTGTATTCATGAAGCCAAACAAGAGTAATCCAATAAAAAAGGATTGATTATCTATAATAGAATTTCAAGGGTGAAATGTGTTCACTTTTCAAAAGCTCTTCGATATGAAAAAACATTGATATCTACTTTACCGTTTTTTCTTATATAAATTGATAATTTCAACAAATTTAAAAAATCATAATCTATTTGGAAATGGGCAAATATAAGTATGAAGATGGAACTAAATATGTTGGTGACTGGAATGATAAAGGATTAAAACATGGATCAGGGTCATTATTATTACCAGATGGATCACGATATGATGGATCTTTTCATAATGGATTGTGTTCAGGCATTGGTGTCTTACATTTTTCAGATGGTTCTAAGTAAGCCAATTTACCTTACTTTAAAAATATGAAAACTTTCTAGACTCAAACAATTATGTTATCAACACTTATGAATTATAAACTCACCATCATAAACAGAGTGTTTTGAGGTTGTTAATGAAAATTTATATAATTTTATAATAGAATTCATTATATATTCACAATTTTCACCAAAAAATCATGAATAAATTAAATATTCAGAATGTAAACATAACTAAGTACACATTACCTTTCCAAAATAGTTGCATTGTTGATATAAAATGAATTAAAAATTTGAATATTTTAAATGCTAAACGATGACTGTAAATCAATTGATAATAAATTAGTTTTCAATTAATTTTCCTAAAACACTAAATCGGCAACAAAATTATCGCAACAAAAAAATTGATCGAATTTTTATCGATTTTCAAATGCCTCTATCTTAGGCTAGACTTATCGCATCGACACGGTTTTTTTTTTATTTCTCGAAAATTTTGTCTTCTTTAAATCCATATATATATATAAGATAAGATTCGAGTTAATGTCGAGTTACCAGTAGTATTTGAGCGTGACACTAAACATTACTGAAAAAAATTGACTGTTTGAATGTGTACCAATACCACAGTAATTTTTCTATCGAAATCTAACATACAACATCGCAAAGTACTCTTTTCAACGAGTAATTAAAAAAAAAAGACCTCTCTACGATTTTTCGAACGCCCTGTAGATCGATTTGTGTACGCAAAATACCCAGAAAATTGTCTTGATTTCAGCTAAACGAAGGATTTTACGTACTTTAAATATGGTACCTTCAAAACGACCTAAAGGGTCGTTTAGAAGAAAAATTACTGTGGTACTGGTACACATTCAAACAGTCAATTTTTTTCAGTAATTTTTAGTTTTGGTGATTTTTTAGGGATCTTTTTTAAGAATCTGTTTCATTTGAGTGGAGAAGAACTATTTTACAAACATTTTAAGACCTCATAGATAAAGATTGGTTCGAAAATCCAATCAAAATATGCTTATATTTGTACTTTCATTTATTGAGCAAGTGCGAACTATTCGCAACACCAGTAAATGAAAGTTGAAAAAGAGTGAAATTTTCTAATTAAAACTTGGTTTTTTACTGGAAATGCAATTGTTTAACATATAAATGTCAGTTTTAAAGGTAACTAGTCCGGTATAAAAGGTTTTGAGCTGCTCATTCTTTTACAGTGGATCTTCCAAATTTTAACGATCTTCAGCGATGATGTACAAAATGACTGTATTTTACAGCTCAGCGTACGATGCGTTCGTAAATTAATTCCTATCGTTAAACTATATTGATTTTGGACCTGATAACCATTCGAACAGTTAGCAATAATACCCAATAAAAGCATAAAAATTCATTGTTCATGAATAATGTCGTTATTAATGATTAATTTTTGTTTAAAAAAGTGCTTTCATTCACTGGTATGCTTTCAATCACTGGGTGGATGACATTATATGAATTTAAAAAAATGTCAATTTCAATATGCCTAGCTCTCTAGTACTTGAGCTACGTATATTAAAGGTTTAATTTTAATACTAAATTTAATAAATGCATAAAAAGTTATGAAAAATTCACTCATGAGGTTTTTTAAAATAGGTAAATTATTGAACTATTATTAATAATTTCATTCCTAAAATTTCCGAAAATTTATCCGAATAAAAAAACGTAAATTTTGCAAAAAGAATGTGTGAAACTATTTACTTATTTCTATACATTGCATAAAAAAAGCATTTTCTCGGGTAAGTCGGGGGTTTTGCACAAGATCACAACACTGGGTAGCCTGCCGGATGAACCAGGTCGAAATCTACACTTTTTGAAGTTTAATTAGTGGAAATCGACCTGGTTTATCAAGTTGTCAACCTGATATAGTCAATATATACTCATGTGATCTTTGATTTTCTAAGCAAGATCGTTTTCAAGTTTACAATTTGACTTGCTACCAAAGTTTGTGGCAAAACCTCGATCTTCCCGGAGAAACCATCACTGAGCTGTGGGTTTTTCATTTTTTTCCTTCACTATTTTTTGTTAATTTTACACAAATTTTTTATACACTTATCATGATGTTGTGAATGTATCACCGCTGCTTATGAGTAAAAATTCACCTTAATGAAATACTGCAAAAAAAACTCATTTCATACGGATACCATGAAGAAAAACACACCTCTATGAAAAACCAAGATATTTTTGACGTGACTCGTTAAATCGTGATTCGATGAGATGTGTTTTTCTTCATGGCATTTCGATGAGGTGTATTTTTCTTTTCAGCATTTAAACGAGGTGCGTTTTATTTCACGGAATCCGACAAGGTGTATTTTTTTTCATGGCATTTTATAAAAAGGTTTTTTTCATTGCGTTTTTAACCACATTTTTACTCATAAGCGGTGGTATAATGAATGAATTATGAAATCACGAACTATTCATACTACTACTACTACTACAACTTCTACTACTACTACTACTACTACTACTACTACTACTACTACTACTACTACACAAAGGATTGGGTTTTCATTTTTCGGATGGGAAAGTAATCTTTTCGAACAAGAAACTCAAATAATTACAATCGAACTTCACAAGTTCGTTTGATTGATTAATTATTTTACGTTCCTTGTTCTCAAAATTACCTCGTAGATTATTAGAGTAATGAAAAGTTTACTTTATTATTTTATAACATTTCATATGTTCATTCTATTTTCAAACATTGTTGGGTTTATTATTACAAACTTTGAAGACAAAATTTTCATTAACATTAACAATAGGTCTATTGTAAAATCTCATGAAAACGGTAGAATTATCGGACCACTCGTCATCTACTGCTTTTTTAATAACATTGATGTTCATCCCGTTCGTTTGGAATTTGTACGTAGACGTACGACTCGTTAAATGACTTGTATACTTTGGGTCTATATTACATTCTTTTCAAACTGCTTTTAGCCATCGAATAATTGTCTGTGGTGTGGCTGCCTCATATGGCTTTCTTCTACTAATTAACAGATTATTTGTCTCTGATCGTAAAGTAGCAGTGGTGCTGGTACAACCATAATTCCCGTATGCTCTTCCTTGATTTTTTTAAAACTTTTGAGATTAGAGCAAATGGTGGAAAGGCGTTCCAAAATCAATTATCACACTTTTTGTTTTCTTTTGCTGTGAATAAAGCAATATCATTTTAAGTGGACTTGATCGTTTCATTTGTAATCATGTTAATAATTTCTCTAGATATGAAGGAGAGTTCATGCAAGGTTGGTTTCATGGACACGGAGTTTTTTGGAGATCAGATGGTATGATGTACGAAGGGCAGTTCAAAGGAGGACGCATATGGGGTCAAGGTGTGTATCAGTTTTTAATCATGATATTGTGATGGTAATATCAGCAATCTTGTCGTAATTTTCGTTAATGTTCCTAAAAATGCGACTTTCATTGGCTTTTTTGAATATTTTAGGATTTATATTCATGAAATCTTCATTCTCAGAAAAAGACATTTTGGGTATTCAGGGTTGAAAATTGAACTATTTGATAGGAGAACTATAAAAAAATTTGGTCGTGTATTAGTATGATATTGAATTGTCAATTACTTGAATAAATAATCCGTTCGCAAATACATTTTTTGATCCACAAAATTGTTCTGAAAAAAATAATTGATTCTTCTTTTAATGGGGCTGTTTTTTGTTTTTCAAAGTGCAAAATGAAAAACTGTTCAAAGGCGATGCTACAAAAAAAAAAAATTAAATGCATTGTAACGGATATAATATCCGTTACTCTCTCTCTCCCGTTCATGAGGCAAAGGCCCAAATACAATATAATTACTTAGTACTATACATTATTTATTCATTTATTATATTATAGACTACTTGTTTATTGTGCACGCTCTGCACAACAGTTCACACCTAAAAGACAGGTGGAACCGAGACAGACGCGCCTGACGTCTACGTCGCCTTCGGTGCGACGAGCCGGGCGCGGCCGACGGCCGCTGAGAGGGGGAAAGAGAGAATTCGGAGCGTCTCGCGGGCCGTACGACACGATCGAGAGCTGACTGTTATTTCGGCAATTGGCGCGTACGCACGTAATTGATATTCTAATTACCGCGAGTAAAGTCATTTGATGATTATTGTGCTTCGTCACAAAGAGTGATTCTAGCCTTTGCATAATTCCGGTTAATAGTGCTGTTCCGTTGTGCTGAGAGCCCAAGGAACTTCCGATTGTGGAACGCGGGTCCGACGCCGAAATAAAGTTCAAACTCCAGCCGGTGAGTACCTGTTGATCGATCACGCGGCCATTAAATCTCTCTCTCTCAGCGCCAGCCCGTTCACGCCCGGTTCGGCGGAGGCCCCACTCGTTATTTGTACACCCGGCCTACGGGCCCAATTTCATGTCCACTATACTTTGATTTAACCTAAATACTTTTCAATAAATCTTATATTAATTCTCTCTTAATTTAACCAGTGTACACGAGTGGTCATTTCCGCCCAAACCCACAGCGTGCTTGTGTGTGTGATTGCATGTATTTTTGTAATTAGCTTACGTGGTAATATCACGAACCCCCGCGAAGCCTGGCATTACAGCATCTATAGCAATATTTAATTGACATGAAGTGAAACACGGTAACGACATTTTGCCTAACATTTTCAACCACATTACACCATTTGAAGTTCATAAATATACTCGCTTTTTTGCAGGAAAAATGGTTGCAAATAAAAGCTTTAATTTTTTCCGCTTTGAAAAAAAATTTTTTCAATTTTTTATATTTAAAAACAACCTTTGTAACGAAGTTATATTGTTAGGTCAACATACTTTCTTTTTTTGAAATTGTGGTTGAAATGTTTCAAAATCGGATTATTGAAAACGGAACGTGAAAAATTCGGAAAAACAAAATTTTGAAATAAAAAAATTTCGGAATGAAAAAATTTCGGAAAAATGGAAATTCGGAATGAACAAATTTCGGAAAAATTAAAATTCGGAATCCATAAAATTTTTAGTGGAAAATGTAGACTATAAAATTCCCTACTGAAACTTCTGAGGATTCCGAATTCTAATTTTTCCGAAGTTTTTTCATTCCGAAATTTTGTTTTTCCGAATTTTTCATGTTCCGTTTTCAATATTCCGATTTTCAAACATTCCGAATTTTACACTTGCCGTAAAATGTCTCATATACATTAAAGTGGAACTTAAAACACGTATTTTTGAAAATCGCTTTTTAATAATATAACTGTGAAAGTAATAGAAAATTAAAAGAATACCTTTTTACGCTATTACAAAGCGATTTTCCAAAATAGGTGTTATTCGCTCCACTATAATATGCATGCTAACGACTTTATTTAAAAGAAATGACAAAGTAGAGTTGGTTAATTTAACATGGGCTCCTATAGGAGCATCTTAATTTTAGTAACACCTTAATCCCTCACGATCATAAACCGTAAGAATTTAAAGTAGGATATTTCTGTCCTAGGCCGCGAAAAACAGAAAAATCCGTAGTAAGAGGAATTAGTGGCTGAGGCGAAGCCGAGGCAAATAAACACGTACCATGAAGCTTTTGATTTGCAGCTTATGCCTGCATCATACCCTGTGGCCCGCAAATAGCTTTCCTCGTTTTGCACAGCCGTTGCAAAATAGTCACTTTTGGGCTACTGGTATGAAATAGTACTTTATGATACTAGTGGCATAAGCAACACTTTTTGGCACGGCGTAGTTTACCTAATAGCAGGGCCAAAAAGTGTCCCCTATGTCACGAGTATCGTACACATTTTTTTATGGCCCCTTTTCCGATGCATAAGCGAGTGCGATGCGAACGCAGCGGTGCCAGAATGTGTGACTTATGCCACCGAAAAGCATGCCATAAATGTGAACTTATGCCACGCAGTGCTATAAATTTATTACAACGTTTCGAGCCGAGTTCCGGCTCCTCTTCAGGTAAGTGCTAGTGAGACGTCTCTCAGTTGTTCTTAAACACTCAGTTGGGCAATCTAAGATAGTTATTCATCTATGTAAAGAGTTGAAACTTTGATTTCACAATGTTTGCGTGATGCAGCTGCTGCACGAAAAGTGGCGGACACAACAACCATGGTCATGGATAGATTTTTTTCATTAAATTTATTAAATTATTTATTGGAAAATTGGAAATATAATCAAATATTAACACAAATTGAATAAATATATTATTTTTAATAAGATTGCGTTTTACACCAGGTACGCCACGTGGAGAGTGTGATTGTAGAACAGCTACTCTAACTTGATACTTCTTGAAATTAAAATTAACTTTTTGAAAACGACCAAGAGGGTAGACCCCTTAATTTTTCTCTCAAAACTAGACCTTCAGTATCCCATTAATACACTAGTCACAACTTTTATATTTATTTGTGGGTGCCAAACTTGTTCAATATAGTCAGTGGGCTTATCACGCGCTTGTCTACATGTCTATGCCATAATGCAATATATAATATAATTACAAATATTATTTTCATTTTATATTGTGCGAATTTCAGCATATAATTTTCACATAAGGTGTGATAAAATAGTATTATTTTCACAATAATGAAAATACTTTATTGATTCAGCTTATTCTAGTGATAGCTCTATAACGGGACTATTTACAGATTAGTTTCTAGTATTCTTAGGTCTAGTGGATTTTATTTAATGTCTTTATTTTTCTATTTGATTTTATTTGTAGTCCTAAAAGAGGACTGTTTACAGAATTATGTTTTGTGCTGTAACTCTAGTGAGCCTATTTGCAAATTTTGTTTTGCAAATGTTTTTTGCTGATTCTGTTTTGTGCACGCCAGTTCTGATAGAAACGAATATGTTGTGTGCAAACAAATTTTTTGTTCCAGTTAGCGGTTAGAGCAGCTGGGTTATCCTCGCTTGATAGCTGCGAAGAGAATTGAGAATTGCGAATAGTCGGATTATGCTCGCTTATTTATACCATCAGCCGAGTGACTTACGTTTGCGCATCTCCACTCCTTTCCAAGAGCCAATGAGCGTACAGTTCACTCAGCCAAGATTATTTTGTTAGAGTTAGCAGAGATTATGTCGCTAGAGTTTAGCGAGGATAACATCGCTAAAGTTAGCGGCGATATTGTCACTAACGAAGTCACTGACGAAGTTCATTGTGCTAGCAAAGATTATCTCGCTAGAGTTTAGCAAAGATAATAAAATCAGTAAGCTTTATGTTGTATCCCTTCTTCTCTCTGCAAACCAATGAGCGCATAGCTCACTTAGAAAATATTATATCACTTAAATTGGGGATGATTATGTCGCAATTAATAATGTATGAACGTTAAAATGTTAAAGTTAGCGATGACTATGTCACTAACATTGACGAAGGTCATCGCTTTAGCGAGGATTATGTCGCTAGACTTTAGCGGATATAATATTGCCAAATTACTGAACGTTATAAAGTTGGCGATTGACCTTGACGAAAATCATCGTATAGCGAGGATTATGTCGCTGAATTTGGCAAAGATCATGACGTCGAATTGTCTACATTTAGCCAAATTGAAGTCTGTGTCATTCGTTAGTAAATAAAACTTGCTCAACGTTTTAATCGAGTCATGGCCCTGAAAAGGGCCGATTTTTAAATTTTAGATATTGCCTTCGTCACAAATTTTAAGGAAGTGGAAATTTCCAACCTTCAAAAATAATTGTCTCCTAATTATTAAATATAATAGGTGCAGGAATGAAAAACAGTTTTTCCTTGACTTTTCAAAAATAACAAAAAATCATATTGATTTATTTATCGTACAAAAATATATTCTTAGCTTTCTGAAAATTGATTTTTTCTTCTTACTGCAAGCAATTGATTATTTTATATATTTCAGGGAGAGTCACGTACCGTGATGGTTCTAATGGATTTCCTCGTAATGAAGGTTTTTTTCAAGATTGCCGACTAGTCAAGCGCAGCTATTGTCCAGATGTGATTCAAAAAGCTCAGAAGCTGTCTTTCATGGCAAGATCTGAAAATATTTAAAAACTGTATTTATCTTTTAGAAAAATATAATAGTCATTGCATTAACATAAAACTGTGTTTTTTTCTGAACCAATTGAAGCGATCGGAAATTATATAATATAATTAATAACGTTAATAGATTAATCTCAAGTACTTTAATCTTAAATTTTGTTATTTTTTATTTGATTCACGTTGTCATTGTGTGCCAAAATTTTGAGCGGTTTTATCTGAAGAAAAAAAAATTTAAAGCAGCAATGTGCAAGTAATGCTGCAAGACAATATCAGCCATCCGTCTCATGACTGTCAGGCTTCCATCAACTTTGACTGACTAAACATCTGCAATTTTGGTAAACCTCTGGTTATACCACGTTGTACAACACACAAATGCTAGGATTATACACTCCGCAACAAAATTATCGCAACAACAATTTTCATTGAAATTTCGTCAATTTTCAAATGCTTCTAAAGATCACGCAAATTTTACTCAAGAATTAACAATAAAAAAGGGACTTTTTCGATATTCACCAGCGGTAAAGAAAGAAAGAGCGCGTGATCGGTCGTTTTTGAACGTCGTGGCCTTATTTTTACGTTCCTTTATCTTTCAAGCGTTAGACTTTCGCCCCGACTTTCGTAAAAAATAATTGCATGGATTTCCTCTCGGATCAGCTACGTGGAATTGACGCTAATCAGAGATAGATTGTACGTGGAAATAGCGTGAAAACAGCGTGGAAAATACATCGATTCCATGAGGACAGTGTATACTTTCCACGAGGAAATATCATAGATTCCATGTAGATTTTCGCCAGTTTATCCATGAGGACTTTCTTAGGCGATCCACGAGGATGTTTTGGTCATTAAAAAAATGAAAAACCCAACTAGAAACTAAAAAAACAAAAAACCAACCTAGAAACTAAAAAAATCACGTAACAAGAAAAAAAAACTCAGAAAATCCCAACACAAGCATCGATGTTTCACATCTGGTGCATGATGAATGAGTGCTTACTCTTAAAATCAGAGTAATTTCTAGAGCATAATTGCACCAGATGTGAAACATCGCTAATTATATAATTATAAGACAGCGAGCATCAGACACTGATCATTCTGAGTATACCCAGTTGAAAAAAATTGCATGGATATCCGCGTTGATTATTACACCGATTCCACGTGGATCATACATAGATTCCTCGAGGATCAGGCATTGATACAACGTGGATCGGACATGGATACCACGTGGATTAAATAAATTGCCTATGTAGGTAAGCCGAGTGGATTGACATAATACCTACGCATATTTTCAATCAACCCACGACGATTTTCGCTAAAATCCTCGTAGACTTTTGAACCTCCGCTTTGATTTTTCAACAATCAGCGAGGATTTCCATGAAACCCCTCGTACATTGTCCAGAAATCTACGCAGACTTTTTATCAACTTACGACGATTTTCGCAAAAATTCTTGTGGATTAATCAATTATCAACATGGAGAAATTAAAATCCACGACGATTCACCAACAAAACGTCGCGAACACTCGGAGTGAGCTCGCGAAACATTTCCAAGATCCTCGAAGAGTTGAAAAACTACCAAATTAGAATTATTTCCATCCATGTGTGATCCACGCGGTATCTATGTGTGATCCACGTGGTATCTATGTGTGATCCACGTAGAATCGTTATCTGATCTGCGTGGTATCCATGTCTAATCCTCGTGGATTGCTAATCCATGCGGATATTCATGCAACTTTTTTCAAATGGGATAACATAACATGTATAATAGCTGATAATTCTTTTGAATATGTTTATACCTTTCTGTATCACAATTTATTTCATGAAATAAACATAAGTTCATAAAAAAAAAGATGTGAAACATCGATGCTTGTGTTGGGATTTTCTGAGTTTTTTTCTTGTTTCTTGATTTTTTTAGTTTCTAGTTTGGTTTTTTGTTTTGACTATTGATTCATGTTTTTGGATTTTTTTTAATTTTTTTAATTATTGAATTTTCTTTAATTAATTGACAAAGATGTTTCACATCTTGCAGCTGTTCATAAACAGCTGATTTTTTTTAAATTTTTTCAATTTTTATTTCTTTTTTGTTTAGATTTTTCATTGGAAATCACTTTTGCAAAGTACATTTTTATCCAATTATTTATTGATGAATTATAATATAAAATTAGTGCATTGAGCGGTTGTCGCTCAGTATTGTGTAACGGTTCCCGTGACCGATACTGATTCTGGTGAGGTATCCTAGGCGATGCACGTCCTCGCGCTGGTCGCCGGCTGGCTCAGTACTCGGTGCGACAATTCCATTTGGCGTCGTGGTCCAACCTACGATAAAGAAACTGGAAGGTCTTGCCAAAATAATAAGAGGGGAATTAAATAGGCAAAGTAATATGGTACAGGCATCCCCCGATATCCGCGGTTTTGTTATCCGCGATTCACCGTATCCGCGGTAGGCCGAAATGCGACATCCCTTGTCATCCGCGTATGTATCCCGCGTTATCCGCGGTTAAAATACACGACAGTATGATGATGCAAGCATTCTATTATATTAAATAAGTAAATAAATATACCAAGAAAGTATATTTACATCGACTTATTATTGTCTGCTAATATATGAAATACATGTATTTCACACATGACCACCGTTCAGTTTGAATAAATCAGTGGAGAGGGATTCAACGATATGCAAGATCATGATATTTTTCAAATAATAATGCCTATATCAGATTTATCAATTGAAGAAATTGAAGAGTTATCCACCCATTTACCAGAAAATGAGAATATCCAAGAAGCTGACGTAATTCCGGGAAGTAATAACATAATTAAAGAAATGATGAATTTTTATTATAGAGTTATCTATAACTCACGACCCAATGTTTACGAGAAGTTTAGAGTTTAAGTATACATGCGAAAAAGCGGTGGAAATTTATAATGATATGTATAAAGAAATTTTAAAACACTCAAAACAAACTTCTATAAGTGATTATTTGTGCAAAAAAAGTAATTCTTAAATTTATATTTATAATTTTGGTAAATAAATTGATTTTTATTTTTTTTCAATATTCCTTGTTACATGATTCTGAATCTAATGGAACGTAACCCCCCGTTTTCCATAAGAACAAGGTCTTGTTATCCGCGGTTTTGCTATCCGCGGTACTTTTTCGGAACGTAACCCCTGCGGATAACGAGGGATGCCTGTATTTATTTAATGGAGTTTCCAATAACGCAGCAGCGCAATCGCGGGCACACTCGAATCACTCAATCACATTGAGACGCGATTGCACACGCAGGAGAGGCAGGGTACTCGAGAGGTACTTACAGGTGTTGTATGCCGTCTATGGCCGCTCGCAGTAAGTGCAGCTGGCTTGACCCTCCGCTCGTGTAGGCTGCTGCTGGTTCGCACAGTTTGCGAAGTCGCAATCGTCAAACGATAACGGGACTCTACATTCACAATGCAACACGTCGGAAATACTTCTCGCGATTGCACCGATCCGTGCTCGATCGACCCGCGTCGAATGTACGCCCGCGCAAGTCGTGCGAATCTCGCGTCACGCGCTTGCCACGTTTAATCGTAATTATTCTCTCGCGACGCAGTCAAATTCGGAGCAACGCGCACGATGCTTACTCTCTCGCGATCACCGAGTATCTCTCGCTCTACTCGCGCTTCACGCACTCGCAGGTCGCTCTAATTAGTCACGTGACCAATTTGCGGGCCCTTGCCTCGTAAGAGAGAAAGAGATGGTTGACTCCGCGTGCTCCGACACGCGGATTCTCTCTCGCACACACACACACACACACACACACACACACACACACACACACACACACACACACACACACACACACACACACACACACACACACACACACACACACACACACACACACACACACACACACACACACACACACACACACACACACACACACACACACACACACACACACACACACACACACACACACACACACACACACACACACACACACACACACACACACACACACACACACACACACACACACACACACACACACACACACACACACACACACACACACACACACACACACACACACACACACACACACACACACACACACACACACACACACACACACACACACACACACACACACACACACACACACACACACACACACACACACACACACACACACACACACACACACACACACACACACACACACACACACACACACACACACACACACACACACACACACACACACACACACACACACACACACACACACACACACACACACACACACACACACACACACACACACACACACACACACACACACACACACACACACACACACACACACACACACACACACACACACACACACACACACACACACACACACACACACACACACACACACACACACACACACACACACACACACACACACACACACACACACACACACACACACACACACACACACACACACACACACACACACACACACACACACACACACACACACACACACACACACACACACACACACACACACACACACACACACACACACACACACACACACACACACACACACACACACACACACACACACACACACACACACACACACACACACACACACACACACACACACACACACACACACACACACACACACACACACACACACACACACACACACACACACACACACACACACACACACACACACACACACACACACACACACACACACACACACACACACACACACACACACACACACACACACACACACACACACACACACACACACACACACACACACACACACACACACACACACACACACACACACACACACACACACACACACACACACACACACACACACACACACACACACACACACACACACACACACACACACACACACACACACACACACACACACACACACACACACACACACACACACACACACACACACACACACACACACACACACACACACACACACACACACACACACACACACACACACACACACACACACACACACACACACACACACACACACACACACACACACACACACACACACACACACACACACACACACACACACACACACACACACACACACACACACACACACACACACACACACACACACACACACACACACACACACACACACACACACACACACACACACACACACACACACACACACACACACACACACACACACACACACACACACACACACACACACACACACACACACACACACACACACACACACACACACACACACACACACACACACACACACACACACACACACACACACACACACACACACACACACACACACACACACACACACACACACNCCCCCCCCCCAATATATTATTGTATACTACGCCGTTACAAAAGCAGCGCACACTTTCGTTTATTTTTATAATATGTAAACAAGCCGCTAGGGGGCGAGCTTGCAAAAAGCTCGCAACCCGATAACGAACGGTGGCTGAAAATGCTTATTATCCGAGATTAAATAAAGTTTTTTCATGTTCCGGGTTAAACTCGACTTTGATTTTCTTATTTGAAAAGCATTAATAGCCACTCTAACTGAGTAATAAGTTCATTGCTTAATACTCTAGCTGACGGCTAAGAAGCAAAGTTACTAAGAGAGTTCGTACGATCTACAGAAGGTAGCGATCACAAGCCACTTCTACAGACGGACAAACTCTCTTATGCCGAAGACAGACGCACAGAGAGAACGTCGTCGTGTGCAACAACATCGGTCACGAGAACGTCGACGTAAGCAGCAACAGCAGCAGAGACGACTGATCGACCCACGCCCACCAGTGAAAGAGGTTATTAAGCAAGACTTGGAATTGCCCTTACCTTCTTGGTCGAGACATCAGGATACGCTTTCGTCTATACCCAGCCTTGATTACGACTCAGAGAAAGAGAAGCCCACCGTTCGCTTTGTAGTCGTAATCCCGCAAACAAACCATCACCTCATCTACGATCCACAATTCCCGCAATTCTGATCGTCTAACTCTCTTTTGTACAAAAAAGCTCTTTTCAGGGCTACATTTTCAAAGCAAAAAGCAAATTGACCCTAATATTGTTAACGTACTATTAACGTACTATAACAATATAAATGAGCAGTTTTTTCATATATGTACAACTTTTGTGCGAGGGGTTCTCGGATCTGCCCCAAAATTTAGTATATTATTTGGGTATGTAAAAATAGGCTTCAGGTAAATTTTTATCCCTCTAGGGGCCTTAGGGCCCAATTTTGGGCCCCTCGAAGGTCCAAAAATAGCCGTTTTTACCTATTTTTGCGTATTATTCAAATATTTGTAACTCAGGCACCGGAGTATATTTTTTAACCCAGAGGGTCGCATTTTTTAGGTAAAGGTATGTACTTTTCATAAAAAAATTATGTAGAGCTCGATAACCCACCCCCGGTTATGGGAGGGCAATGAAGGGGGATGAAAAATCGCAAAAATGTCGTTTTTTAGCTTTTTTTAAATTAATGTAGAAGGCAACAGGATTGACGTATTGACTTTTGCAAAATCTCATTTTAAAGGTATTTTTATTAATTACCTTTAAATTGCCGTGCGCAGATTTAAGATTGGTTCATAAGCGACGGAGATAGAGCTGTTTAAAGGTGTCAACATTATAAAAAAGGCGTTTTTTCGAGATATCGATAAGCTGTAACTTTTTTCTAGTAACATGAATCTCTTTGAAATTTTATGTGAAAGTAGTTGATTACTTGTAGTTTGAAGCCATGTAGGTAAGGATCCGTATTTGCCTCTATAACCGAAAACGAGGCCCCGGAAATCCGGCATTTTAGCCCTTCTATAGGCAAAATACATGTTAAAAACTGCTCATATATAAGGGAGCTCATTACATGGTAATTAAAAAACCATAATTCCGCGCTCTTGATCAACTGGGTATCTTATAATATTGTAAGTACTAGTGGATTAGTAAATTAATTCATAACTCACAGTTATAAAACTTTACCTCAATCTTTACTAAAATTTAAGATTTCTGTACTTTGGTATTGACCATTTTTGAGTTAAACCGAAACGTAATACAAGTAAAATTTAAACAAGTAGATTATAACCAAATGATCAGAAAAATACATCGTATACATATTTATGTTTATGATGATCAAGTCATTTATCAATGAATTGACGGTGGTTTTTCCAATTCGCGTTGTCATAATTTTGAATTCGCTTTAGAGGTTATATGTTTTTACTTTTCAAAGATTAGATTATGAATGATTTTTATGTGAGATACAAATGTAAAAAAAAATTATGTTTTTAAATAGTACATTTTTTTAATAAAATTATTTTGTCTTCTAGATATTTTTAAGAATGTAACATCTACTCATTAATTTCTTTTTCACTGAAAATATAACGATTGAAAATGTTGAAAATATGATCAATTAATCTTAATTATTGATCTTATTAATTAATTTTTTTTAGTAAATCAAATATATTTTTGAAGTAAAAAAGAATTTAAGAGGTCACCATCTTCACTTGAATTTCAATAAAATTCTTGAAAACATATTGAGTTTTTATTGAATCTGTCTAGTTTAAAAATATATACTTAAAAAAAGTTTTGAGGATATATCGACAAAAGTTGTCCAAAAACAACAGTAGGTTCATCAGCCGTTTCTCGGTAACTGTACTTTGATAACATACCATACGTAATTTTCATTAAATTCATTTAATTAATAAAAAATTATCCCAAAGAAAAAAGTTTGCGTAAAATATACTCACAAGTTCATCCATGTTGCAGTCAAAAGAAATCTACTTAGTGTTATGCATTATTTGTGTTTTATTGTGATATCATAATTTCTTTGCAAAAATACTTATTTCAAATTCTTTAAAGAAAATTTAATAAGAAAACAAAAATACAGTATATTTGAAATATAAATAAATAATTGTAGGAGTCACTTGTTTTTTGTATTTTTCTTTATTAAACATTTATAATCTCGTGAGTACAAAAATCTTATAAAATTTCATTAATTTGAAATAATATCTCCAACTTTATTTTATTACATATTAAACAATCTTGATTATGTTTTCAAGAGATGGTTAGAAATGTTGTCAATTCTCGTAAATCTGTATAATATGGGCAAAACTGCCAAACGTGGTAACTTTTAGTCATTTTGGAAAGAAATAAAAATATAAATGAACACAATCCTCTGAAACTTTCATACATTATTTAGTACATTTTGAGAGTTGAAAACATAATCTTGCATGATAAAATTAAATAAACATTTGGTTATTTAACACAAAATTTAAACTTCATTATCGTGGGGAATAAAAACAAGTACTTCAATAACAAATCATGATAAATATCATCATCACTTAGGAAAAGTTAATGATATTTTGAATCATTGCGTCAACGCTGCTTACAAAAACTACGACTTTTCGATGTTGATTCAAGTGAAAAAGTATTGATTTTTATAATCAAGTGTCGATTTAATACAATAACAAAATGTTATTACAAGGTATTTTTTATATTATAATTTCATAAAGTATTCTTTGTAAACATCAACTTTAAACTGAAATATTCTTTTATTCTAGTATAGCAACTAATGAGTAATAAGCCAAATTAAAATCAATATAATTATTTATTTAAATTTTGCGTCTCCAGACGGAGGTAATGTATTACGAGCAAAGACTACATATAATTTTGCTTGGACTTCACTAAAGTTCGTTTGATCAATTAATTATGCTAGTCTTTGCTCTACAATATTACCTGATTTAAGAGCTCAAAGGGAGCTTAAATAATTGTATATTTCTATTTATAGTATTAAGCTAAAAAAGTGAAAAAAATTTGTTTTTCAGAAAGCAGGCATAAGAGCCTTTTTCAGTACCCCATTTAAAAGTTCTTTGTCCAGTTAAATACTTACAAACACTTAAATTAACTGGTATACGTCTATAAACCTTTAGCGATGAGCATTTAGGATGTCTAAACTGTTTCCAAGTGTTTGCATGACACGACTAAGTTGTATGTGGTTTCATTTTCTTTGGTGGATCATTATCCATCAACGCAACCTCAAGCTCAGCATAAGATCAACTTTGACTAATTCCAAATACAATTTAATAGAATATTTTATTCATTAACGATTATTATTGATAAATTTTAATAAAATGCCTGTTTTCTCAAAAAAATTTTCTTCACTTTTTCAGCTTAATACTATAATCAGAAATATATAATTATTTAAGCCCCCTTTTGAGCCCTTAACCTACAGTAGTGGTTTTAACGGGCGAATTGAATTTTTTGAACACAGAAAAAACATATGTAAAAAACAAAAATAATATTTATTTATTATTTTCTCAATACATTAATCGCAAAATTAAAGACATTTGGCCTGATTGGCCTTTCATAATGCGTGGCAAACATTTTTGAACGCTCTGACCACCTGGCACAGCGACTTATGGAATCAAAATCTACTCCACGAGACGATCGGCTTTGGAGCTCGCGGAATGATGAGTAGAGTGGCAGAAAAAATAGTATAGAAGTAGTACAGAAAAGATAAAGTTTTTATCCATCTCGAGATGTTTGTACAAACTTCCTTATAAGACTTACTTTAACTAATACAGGCAAACCTCCGTATTCGCGGTTTCCTTATTCGCGATTTTTCGTATTCGCGGTTCGCTCATTTGTTACCTAACTTCAGTATTCGCGGATTTTATTTTCCGTATTCGCGGTTTTGAAGGTTAATTATTTTCGCGTGCGTATTATTTTCGGAATATTTTTTTTAATTCTTTCAAAAAATGGCTCCACAATCGCGAAATGTGCCTGAGAAGAAACGTAATAAAAAAGTGTTCAATTCGGCCGAAAAAATCAAAATCCTGGATGCATTGGCATCTGGCGAAAAGAAATCGAGAGTATAGTGCAAAATTCAGCAGATGAGGAAATGGTTGAAGATGAAGATCCAGAACCCGTACTTACTTCCAAAGTGATCGGGGATATTTTAGCAGACGCAGAACGTCTCATTGAAAAAGCATTAACTTATGATCCTATCATGACTCGGAGCCTTCAGTTTAAACAAGATATTGAAAAATCATTGCAGTGCTATAAGAATTTGTACAAAGATTTATTGCGCAGAGCAAAGCAACAAAGCTTAACTCAATATTTTTCTAAATTATAAATAAATTTACATCATAAATTTGATTTTCAGAGAAAAAAAATTTTTCTAATATGCATACATGAAAATTTTGGCTGAGCAAGGAACCGAACCCCCCTTTTCCCATAAGAGCAATGTTTCCGTATTCGCGGTTTCCGTATTCGCGGTACTTTTTTGGAACCGAACCCCCGCGAATACGGAGGATTGCCTGTAAACAAATTTTCGATGCCCGATCCAATATCTTCCGTTGCGTCAATGTATTTCAAAAGAGTTGAAACGACACAAACGCCAGGTCTTTTGGAAAGAACGGTAGCTGCAAGAGAGGCTGACTTCTCCCTACTGCAGAGGTATTAACCCATGAACCCCCAGACGTACAGAATTTTCTTTTCTTTTGGAGTCTGAAATTAAATCCCTTACAAAAATTTCCAATAGGATCCCGCGAAATTCCTATTGGAATCCTATAGGACTCCTGTAGGAATTTTGCGAGATCCTATAGGAAATTTTTATAAGGGATCATCTTATCGGATCGAGAAAAATTTTTTATAGTACCCAATTTCTATGTAAAATTTAATGTGCTTTTCGAATATGAGTTTATAATTAACTGCTGATAAATATTAAAATAAACTATAAACAATTTACTACGAAAAAACACGATTTTAAATCCTGAAAAAAACTTTGATTCAATTGAAAGAGACTTAAACTGTGGCCAATAATACCAAAAATTTTGGAATAAGAATCTAAAGTTTAAAATACCGTAAGGGGATTTAGAGATTCAAATGGCAAACTCCAAAATATACACTTTTCCAAAAAAATTTACCAAAAAATCTTCCAAAATATGAACTTTTCTGCTCGTATTAATCGTAATTATGAATTAATTATTATCAAATGCGTAATCAATTTTACTGAAATAGAACTAATTGGTATATTGCAACGTATTTTACTCTTACGAGACTGCTCGCGAGTGCTTGTGCATGGTGACACGCTCGTTCCTAGGCGAGAGCTCTTTCTCTCTCTCTACTTCTGGCGAGTAGCTTACCTTTTATATTACGTGACTATGTGTCGTCGCGGGGCACTCCCTTGCGCGTACGTTGCTCGTTTGAGTCGCGTAAGGGTTTTCAGATTAATATTAATTTAGGATATTTTTTGGGACGAGTCACTGGACATGTGAAAGGTGTATTGTCTTTTTAATTATTTGAATAAATATTCAAGTTTTATTGAAATCGCGTCTAGGGGGGAATTTTACATATGCACTATACTTTACAATTTAGTTTTTTCTGCGCTGCCGATGTTGAGACTCTTGTCCGCTCTCCCGTTGGTGATGTCGTCTGCGCCGGTGGTTGAGTCGTGGGTAGAGTTTGGGCACACTTGCACTATAGAAAGGAATAACAAAAACTCACTACTTGCAATAATCAACACTGCACTTAAAAAATCGGACCCTTCACTATTCGTGATAGGGCTACCGATTGAGTCCACCCAGGAGGGGTGACCTCTGCCTGCACGCCTATTTCGTGTGTGGAACACAATAAGGCGACTCGCCTTGGCACGTACTCGTAAATAAAAAGCCGGACTCTTTGCTGGGCGAAAGAGCTTTCGGCTAAGTCTTACCTTTCCAGGTAAGCCTCCGTCAGCACGACTACCACGTGAGTGGCGACGTGCTTTGACGTTGCGGTACGAGTGGCCTGCTAACTTAAAATATAGGCTGATGCCGGGTTAGACCTGGGCCTGGTTTTGTAATTTGTGACAATAAGTCCCGCGTGGTCCTTGCACGTGCCTTTTATAGGTCGCGGTGCGCTCTCCCACCTATCCGGGTCCTGCCCCGCTAATTAGGTCATTTCGCCGCCGTTTTTCTATGTAAATTAGGGGAGAGAGAGAGAGAGAGAGAGAGAGAGAAACTCATCCCACTCAGGCGGACTCTCGGTGCTGCGACGAGCGCCGTCGCACGAGTACAAGCGTATCTTATCCCGTGGGCTTCGGTGGGGCATTACGCGTGCTCAATTGGTCCTCGCTCTCCTTCGCTCGCCGTCAACGACTTGCTCAGACCTCCCCTGTGGTCACGAGTGTGTCGGTAAGGCTGTTCGCGAGTGCTCCGATCGAGTAGTACCGTTGCATAGCTACCCTAAACTTTTATTTAAATTTGATCATCGGTTGGGAAAATTTTAATGAAAGTTTATTTAAATTTGTGAATGTAGAAAATAAAAAAGTTCGTATATTCTTGTAATCATCGGTCGTACTGAGCTACGCTCTCGTACTAAACAAAACATGACAGTTTCTTGTCTCATAACAAAATAAATCCGACCTTTACTCGTCGTCATACATAAAGTATTTGTTTGTTGAAGATATAACAAAATTTAACAAAATATAACAAAATATAACGAAATATAACAAAAATAAATCCGACATTTACTCGTCGTCAATTGTAACATACGTAAAGGAACTGTTTGTTAAAATAAACTAAGTCTGACGTTTCTCTTTATCGTCAATAAGGAACTGAACTTTAAAACAAAAAATAAAACTTATTATCCTTTCGGATCTGTTGTGGTTTCTAAAAAAAATAAAAAAGGAATTTCGCAGTTCTTTGTCGGCTACGAGGTGAGACACGTATAATATCCGTCATCCGTGTCGGTCGTATCCGCGCCGACGTAGAAGCTGACGACACTACTAACGTCGTCGCTGTCGTTGTTGCTTTTTGCTGGGTCGTAGAGTGCGGAGGGTGGCCGGGACGGCATCTTCTCGTCGTCACTGGATGGGTGTATTATCCGACGAACGAGCTCTGCTCTTTCCCGTGCATCCTCCTCAGCCTCCCTATTCTCCCTGTCGACGGACTCAGAGAGCGACACGGAGTTGATGTCGGACATTGCGTGATTGGAGGCAGCAGACGACGATGATGTTGTGTGCTGTGAGGCGGCAGACGACGATGGTGTTGTGTGCTGTGAGGTACTGGTGTTGCTCGTTCGAGACCGACTGCTGGGCGAATGTGGCGCGCTTCCGCGCGCGGCGGCATTTAATTCCTGTGTGTTTTCAGGTCGATTGAGGAGCCCAGCGGCGCGCAGTCCGTTGAACCACCAGTTGAAATGTGCCTGCCTTCGGCGTATCTCACGTACCTCCTCGAGTTGATCAGCCTGGTTGTCGCAATCTTGCCTTCGGGGGCTAGATTGTGCGATCGCCGGCTCAATCTCCTCTCGGGTGAGGTCGATGAAGATGTGGTCGTCATGGTGGCTTGGCCGCGGTCTTATGTGCACCTCCACTACCTCAAGCATGTCGTCGTCTTCTGTCAAGTCTATGACCTGCATGGTGATGCTGTGAACAGAATATAATCCAACTCATAAGCGAAGGTTCATTAAATTTTATGATTGTTAGTCACATCTAGAATTAGG